GGGTCCGGATCAAATTCCAGTTAAACTGGTAAAAGCCTTAGATGACGGTAATATAAAGAGACTCATCCCGACTCATCCCTATAAAAGCCCGACAACATCCTGGAGGAATGGCTTAAATCGATATTTTTACCTCTACCAAAAAACAACAATCCCAAATCATGTAATGACTATAGATTGATAAGCTCAATGTGCCACCCTTTAAAAATTCTGTTAAAAATTATTCAAAACCAAATTTATAAGAAATGTGAGGAGCAGATAGATGAAATGCAGTTTGGCTTCAGAGGAGGCATGAGTACAAGAGAGGCATTATTTGCGTTGACGGTACTCTTGCAGAAATGTCGGGAATATAACAAGAGTGCATATGTATGCTTCATAGACTTTAGGAAGGCCTTTGACCGAGTGCAGCATATAAAGTTAATCTTCTTCATGTGCCTTGTCCGTTCCGAACGTTGGCAATCAACATGGCTATTCTGACTTTGTTTACGGCAGATCTGAATAGTTCAGCAGATGACAATCCGAACCATTGCCGCAAGTTTTGGAGCCACGAGTGTCTTCTCCTCCCTGGACCCCTTCTGCTGTCTATTTTCCCTTGAACGATCAGCTGTAGTAGTCTATATTTATTATGTCTCATAACGTGACCCAAGTATTCCAACTTTCTTTTCTTTATACTTATTCCTACCTCTCTATATTTACCTATCCGGCGTAGTACCTCTTCGTTGGTCACGTGCTCAGTCAAAGATATACGTAATATACGTCGGTAAGCCCACATTTCGAAGGCTACTACTTTTTTCATCAATGTTGCGGTCATTGTCCACGCCTCCATTCCATATAACAAAACCGGGAATACATAACATTTCAGACGTCGAATTTTGAGAGGTAGGGTGAGGCTTTTAGAGGTAAAAATTTGCTTCATGCTAGTGAACGATGCTCTTGCCTTTTCTACTCTTATACGTATTTCCTTCGCTTGATCCCAATTTGAGTTAACTGTTGTTCCCAAGTAGATGTACGAATCCACGTGTTCAATTCTTCATTGTCTAATATCAGTTGCTGTGGTGGTTGTTGGGTTTTGCTTACTAACATCCATTTGGTTTTTGTGATATTTAGTCTGAGTCCGTATAAAGTTAATAGATGAATTAAAAAACATCAATTTATACAAAAAAGACATTGAGTGTATTAAGGCTATATACTGGAACCAGAAAGCAGTAGTAAAGGTGAACGATATAGAAACAAATAATATACCGATTGCGAGAGGAGTCAGGCAAGGATGCGTCTTGTCTCCGACGCTTTTCACCGTGTACTCACAGGTTATATTTAAAAAAGCTTTATGGGAAAAAAGAGGGAATAAGAATTGGTGGATAAATCGTAAACACCTTGAGATTTGCAGATGGCAGAGTAATTATGGCTGAGAATATAGAAGAACTACAAACTTTACTAGATGCAATATATAGTGAATGCATTCAAATGGGACTTGACGTCAACACAAATAAGACCAAATTTATGATAGTATCAAGGAGTCCAATAAATAATGAACAACTAACCCTTGGTGGACAGCAAATAGAGAGAGTGACAAAATATAAATATCTGGGAGCTTACATCAACACAGAATGGCAAGGGCAGCGTTCTTAAAATTTAAGAAATTGTTGTGTGACAAAAATCTGAATAGGCGCTGAGACTGAGGCTTGTTGAATGTTACGTCTGGTCCCAACTAATATTGGGTCAACGGGATAGAAACATGGACGTTAAAAGCGGAAATAGTTAAGAAGCTTGAAGCCTTTGAACTTTGGATATACCGGAGAATGTTGAGAATTCCATGGACTGCCAGGGTCACCAATGAGGAAGTGCTGAGAAGGATGGGTAGAGACAAAAAATTGTTAAAAACAATAAAAGTTCGCAAGACTTCATACCTTGGACACATACTGAGGAATGATAAATATAGTCTTCAGCAGGTCATCATGCAGGGTAGAGTGCTTCATAAGCTGCTTCAATAATTTATTTATTATCTCTTAATGGGTATCCTGGGCTGAGTAAATTAACAAACCTACCAACGATAAACCTAGGTAGATTTGTTAATTTTTGTTTAAGCCGTAACTGATATAAAAATGAGTCGTTTTGAAGTGTATCAATATTATATTTAGGTGGATTCGTTTTGAGCGGTTTTTATTGTGCTGGTTGGTTGTCATTTAGGTGTAGTGATGGCGGTGAATACTGTAAGTAGTATTTGATAGCCTATAGTGATCAATTCTAGACTCCGGTCATCTTAGTTTTTTACGTCTTCTTTTGTTATCATATAATCTGTAACGACTATTTTGCTTACCACAGGGTAAGAATATGGGGGACAAGATTGGGCAAACAAAATAATCGAAACAAGTGCATACGGACACTCAGTTGGTTGTTGGAGAGCTGGGTCGTGGATAAGTTGAAGATATTGGGGGTTAGATTGGGGCAACTGCAAAAAAAAGAAATAAAGGGGTACTTATACAAATCTCTTGGGACAAACAGAATGAAAATAAACAGAAACACCTCAAGAAATTTAATATAGGGCGCCACTTGAGGTGCCTAATTATACCTATTACAACCACTAGTTGTAACTAGGGAAATAATTATAGAACATCAAAAATATAGAAAAAAATATCTTTTTCAAATAAAACTCAAAATAGATCAGAGAAACAAATTAAACATTTATTTTTGTCTCACCAAACAGTTTTCAAAAATACAGCTTATACAAAGGCATATTAAATAAAATTAGCTGTCAAATACAAATGAAAAAAAACTTACATATCTGTTTACAAAAGGTTACAAAACTCTTCGAAACGGTTCCTAGTAAATAATTTAAAAAATAATTTATAAAAGAAAGCAAATTTTGTCTTTTTAAAAGAAAATGTCTATTTTTACTTTAAAAATTAATAACGTAAATGTTACCTCAGTTCACACATGTTAACTTAAACTTTTGAACAACTGGCTAATTTCTGTGGGGTATCTAACTGCACATCAACGGAAAGCTTTATTGGAAGCTGAAACTGGCACATTCAAATCAAAACTGCTCCAATATCATTCTACGTGAGGTGAAAAGGCATCTTGGAAAGGAACTGGATTTCTCAGAAAACGAAAAGAAAACAGGAACTAAACTTGTTCACTGCTCAAACATTATAAATCTTCAGCCAAAATCAAAACAGTGGTTAGTGGTCACTCTTTCAGAAACGACATATTACATAGAGTGAAAATTCCACCATTTTTGGCGAATGAATGCCGGCTTACAACATCACAATTAAAACGACCTTTCCCTTCGAGCAAATATCCATCACTGCCTTTCAAATCTTTGACTCAATTCTCACATGTCTGCCCCGCTTGGAACTTAAATGTCGACTCCTTTGCTTCGTTACATTTTACAAGAATCTAGCCAAAAATTTCCCTTCCGTCTTGCAGCCTGTCGCCGACCCACTTAAAACCAAAACAAATATTCCCTCCTCTTATCGACAAAAAAACAACTTTTAAATGTTCCTTTATTGCCTAAACAAACAAATTTTCTTTTTTTTTTTGACCCTCGTCTAATAACGAAAAACAACTTTAATATTAGGGGAATTCATGTTTATTGCGTTTTTAACGAAGAAAACAAATAAAACCTTTTTTTTATCAGGGGGCATCATAAATTTACATAATACAAATTAACAAAATAGCACGTATTTTAAACTGGAGTTCTACCTGACGTTGTAACAAAAGGTTCGATATTTGAATCTAAACACAGACAAAAAAACATCTATATTTACTTTTGAATCGGTAGAAATATACGCATTATTGATTATTCTTACCGGAATATTAGGGGGACTTCATGTAACATAATATCTCTTTGGCGACAAAAAACTTGTTGTTTCACCTAACATTGCAACACAGAGATAAAAAAATATTTCCAGCATTAATACGCATTTAAAAATCTCGTCAAAAAAAACTTGAAATATTATTTCGATTGTTTTCTTTGGTAAAAACAACAGGAGCGTAACACAGAAATCTTTTGTATACACTTTAAATAAAAAACGCTACAAATCTATAATGGAGTTTGTGATTCGCGTTGGTTAGATCCAGGTACATTTATATATATTTTAATGTTGGTAGAATCCATTTAACATTTTTGAAGAATGCTGTTCGAGTGCTGCAGAATTTGATTAACTATTCTCCATTTTCATTTGTTTTAGCGTCTCCTTATTTTTGTACGACTGTTATTTGTTTTTTGTCTTTTCAAATATTAAAACCACAATTTCTTTGCGACTATTAATATTTTCAATAAGTTCATAATCAACAGATTTTCATAAAATATTTTTTTATCTGTTTTTGATACAGTTTCTGTAGCTTCTGTTAGCATAATATTCCAACGATCTCGAGGGCGTGCCCTTTTACGTAATAGATACTTAAATAAGTCTCTCTTTGATTTGCTCTTGGCATTTCAGGTTTTCTTTTTTATCAAGTTCTTTATCAGTATTGATACCTTTGCTTATGATCTCTTGTCTTTCGTTACCTTGCCCTTTTTCTTTGTTTCTGTAAGAACTGTGATATCTAATTTTATTTTTTTTTTTAATTCTGCTATGACTTCGTCTGACTTACTTTTTTACCCTTGGATATACGATGCGACCATGGAATTCGTTTTTTGCCGATTTTAGAACTTTAAAGTGGATTTTTTACAGGTGTAGAAGAGCAGAACCTACACCCCAACCCCTATCAGGGGAACCAAGATCTTTTTGGGTTTACTCCCTTAGCCAATATGGTCTAGATTTAAATTCTAGATACTCATCTTCACTAATCCCTTCGTGGGTAGAATTTTCTAGTGTCATCTACAAGTGTAGACCCAAGTCTGATACTGTCACCAAGACTTATTCATTTACCCTCCTCCTTTCTTATTTGTGCTTGGGACTGGCAATGGCATGAGTAAAATAGGAATAATATTTTAACATAACAAATTTTTTTCAAATATCCAAACACATAAATAAATATCTTTTTGATTTTAGGTTACAATGACAGACAAAAAAAAACAGAGTACAAAGGATAAAGAGAAGAATGTTATTGATGCGTGAGTATTGTTTAAAACTTATAATTTAAGTTCCGAAATAATAATATAATTTTTTAAATCATATGTTCATTTTTAGCCAATTTGTTAATAGTGAGGAACCAAAGGAAAAAATTAAGAATGTATCTTTTCTTCAGATGGTAAGCATTGGTTAGATTCATTATCATTACAATTAAGAAGCTACATTGTAGTTTAATTATCATAGATAAAACAATAGTGTCTTAACTTATGCAAGGTGAAAAATGAACTTTTTCATAGCATACACCATACCATATTCTAAGCTTTTTAAATAGCTTCTTTCTTATCTTAATACTGGTTTTAGAAAAAGTTGTATTTTCCGCTAGAGGTCTGATCTTACTCTTAGGATGCCTGTCCGTGCCGAACTTTGGCGATCATTCTGGCTATGATGACTTTGTTGGTTGCTATACGGAATAGCTGTGTTGAGGTCTTTCTATACTCTTAGGTTAGCAATCCAGGATATTCTTCTTAGTCTTGGGATCCTTTTTCCTCCAATTTTATCTTGTAAAATGCATATAGAGTTTTCTTCTTCAATGTCTACGTTTCTATTCCGTATGAATGTTTCTAGGGTGATGTCATGGCTCTTAAACACAGAGCTCATAGTCAAAAATGCACTTTTTGCCTTTCTGATGCTACATTTAATCTCTTGGGTATTATAAAACGACTCATTGATTATAGCTCCCAAGTAGTTGTACTATGAAACACGTTTAATTCTCATTTTGTTCACATACGGGTTTACTTCAGTTATGTTTTCCTTGCTGATGATCATTAGCTTGGTTTTGCTGGTGTTTATATCCAATCCATATGTTTTACTTGTTTCCGTTATGTATCTGGTCTGATCTGTATATTCTCCATCTATTCGGAGCACTGCTAATTGATTAAAATACAGGCTAGTTATTATTTTTGGGTTTCTTTCATCAATCCCTGTTCTCTTCAGCACTGTCATCATTTGTTCATACCAGACTCTATGTAGACTTCTTGTAGTCAATCAGGCATGCAAAAACATCACAGCTGACATCTCTACATTTCTGAACTCTTCTCTTCTTCACGTGCCATCTCCGCTACGAAGGTTGGCTATCATCATGGCAATTTTGACTCTGGAGGCTGCCGCTCGGAACAATTGTATGGAAGTGCAATGATACCACTCCTTGAGGTTTCTCAACCATGACATTCTTCTTCTACCTATGCTGCGCCTACCTTCAATCTTTCCTTGCATAATTAGTTGTAACAGTTGATATTTATTCCCACGTGTAATATGTCCCAGGTATTGTAGTTTCCTCATTTTAACATTCTATACGACCTCCTTTTGTTTGTTAATCCTGTCTAATAATTTCTGAACTGATTGGGCGCAATTTCTTCCTCGCATTTCCGGTAAATTCTTTTGTGGATGACTTTTAGAAACAGCTTCAGCAGATGGCCCATTAGGCTTATTATCCTGTAGTCTTCACAAACTTTTGCTCCTGATTTTTTGGGAAATGGTACGAACTCCGATTTGAGCCACGCTACTGGTGTTTTTTCTGCATTGTATATTTCATTAAATATTATTTTGATTTGTTCTGCATCTAATATCTTCAGCAGTTCTGCAAGAATTTGAATAAGTCGAGGTGCCCCTCCATCCTATATTTGTCTGACGGCTGCCGTTATTTCTTCTGGTAGGATTTCGGAACCTTAATTTCCTTTAATGGTGGGTTCTTGTATTGTTCTAAGGTCATGGAAAAGTTTCTCTAAGTATTCTTCCCATACTTTCTTTCTATCTTCTTTAGTTATGGCAAGATTGCCTTCATCATCTGTTTATTTTTCCGCTGTTGCGTTTTCGAAACTTTTCAGCTGTTTCCTTCACCTTTCCATAGATATTAAAGTTATTATATCTACTCTAATACTCCTCTATTTCTTGACATTGTTCTGTTTTTTGTTTCTTTTTAGCTTCTCTTATCTTTCTTCTGACGATAGTATGTGTTCTCTAGTATTTCTGGATATTTTCTTTGTTTTTTTTTCTGCGATCCATAAGCTTAAGTATTTCATCGGTCATCTACGATTTCCGTTTCTCTGTATCTTTTTTTAGGTGTTTTTTTCTCACTGATTCTTGTATGGTCAGACTTTTCTATGTGGTTCCTGCATTTCTGCGTTTCAGCACCTTTGTATTGAGGTTTTCGCTCACCTTCAGTCGAACATTGGGATCTTTCAGTTTTATAACATCATACTTCTTCATCGAATTACTTGCTACATTCTTCATTCTGACTTTGAAATTACTTACAACTAATATATAATCAGAATTTATGTCTGTCATCGCTTATGTTTTGACAGATGTACAGCTGTTCTTATACCTCTTATTTACTAGAATGTAATCAATCTAATTTCTTACAATCCTTTCCACAGAATCCTGTTGAGATTTCCAGATGTATAATTGCTTTGGGTGTAGCTTAAACCAGGTGTTTATTATTACCAATTGATTTGCTTCCGCGAAAATCTCCAATATATCTCCTCGATCGTTCCGGCTTCCTAGTTCAAATCGTCCAACCGCAGATGATGTTTTCCTGACCCCAACTTTGGCGTTGCTTTTTTAACCTCCTCACGACTTGAATAATGCTATCGTATAGTTCTTCTACATCTTCTTCTGTTCCTTCTGTTGTAGGTGCATACACTTGAATTATATTGATGTCGATCGGTCTTGCTTTAGTTGTATGAGCACCACTTTTGCTGAGATTAAAATAAAGATGTCTAATAAGTTATCTTAATAATAAAAAATATCCTTATCTCTCTTTTATATTTTTGTGTGGTTCTACTAATAGTGGCACTGGAATAGCTTGGATGCAACAAATGATTTAATGTGCTCAAGAGTATCATCCCAATAACTTTGTTATAATATTTTTAACTAACGGAATTTTTAAGTATTCGTGTAAGGATTAATTAATAGGGTATAATAAAGCTTCAGATATTGCTTTACATTTCTGTTCTTTTATGGCCGTCAGCAACATTTTCCTTTAGTTGTTTTCAATTTTGATCTACATTGAGTGTTCTTTACAAGAAAGTAATCTTTAATGATATATATATATATATATATATATATATATATATATTCAAATTGTTCATATATTTTTACATTAATTTCGCAATTAGTTTTAAGCTTGACACTTATTGTAGTTGCTTGTATGTGTTTTTTTCTTTCTTTCTCAGGAAAGTCACAGCTACTTCAATACCTTCGGAAATAATATCTGTTACCTTTCCAATGTAATGATGGATTTCATTCCTATGCTTATTAACTGTAAATTTTATTAAAACCCAACAGTTAATCCCAAGTTTTGTAGAATTGTATTCTTTCGTTTTTGCCACTGTATTAGGAATATCATCTTCATCTTCCAGTAGAGGCGCATCTAAGACTGAATCGTCATCAATTTTTAAACTAACTTCGCCCTTAGAACTTGATTCAATTGTTTTCTTTTTCGTCTTTATAGGCTTGTTTTTGGTTTTTTTCAAACCTCTTACAGTGCTTTTTGAACGAATTATTTCCAAAAACCTATGCGCTAGTAAGACATTCAGCAAATTTTCTTCAAACTCTATTTTGTTTCAGTGTTTCTTAACAGCACTCACGGCAGATTGCATCCTTTCTGTAGTGTATTTTTGTAGTACCTCTTTTTCCCGACTTCGTTGCTAAAAAAAACTTATACAGTAGACTCGCGATTATCCGAGGTAATTGGGGACCGTGACTACCTCGGATACCGAAAGAACTCGGTCACTGAGATTGGTTATACTGATAGAAAAATGTGTACCTATGTTAATAATGATTAATGTGTTTAGTTTAATAACTAAAAACTAATATAAAAGTAGTATAAAAGATAAAAAAAAAATTAATTTATAAAGTCTTGATTGATTTGTTTCAAATAAGTCTCTTTTGGGGCGGCGATGTTGCGCCAACGTTGAAAATGAAGGACGTCTAATGGTGTTGATTCTTCTTGTTGCTCAATGTATACGAGAGCTGCTTCAAGGGACTTAAATCCTTCGGAATGAGAAATCTTTTGAGTTATCACATCTGTATCTTCTTCTTCTTCTTCATGGGTGACGTTTAGACCTAGATTGGCAATTGCATCATCTGTCAGTTTCACTTCTTCATCTAGATTCATCCAATCGATGATGTCTTGGTTTACGATTGTTTGTTCTACTGGTAATTGATTGGCTAGGTGGGCTATAGAATCAACTTTACAGTCATCAGTTTCATTTTGAACGTCTTGTGTTTTGTTGTCTATCTTAAATAATTTTTTCCACAACTTCTGAGTAGTGGACATTTTTACGTCGTCCCAGGCAGATGCAATCCAATAGCAAACATCTTTAACCGTGATCTTCTTCAATGCCTCAATTACAGTCAGCCCTTCATTAAGTTTATAGTTAGCAGTACCTGAAGAAGCTTCCGCCGATAATTCCTCTTCATTCCTTATATAACGTTTTGGTCTAGGGTTGGATGAGAGATGTCACATGGGGTGGAAGGAACACAGCTTGTATGTCACCACTAATCAATTCCCTCGCATATGTGTGGGATCGTGCGTTGTCCAACAACAACAAAGCTTTTTGGGCCAATCCACTACCACCACTTCAACTTCGGTTTACCCACTGTTCGATTTCATTCCGCTTACGCTTCCAATATCCGTTACTTCTCCGACATCTAAATCTGAAGAAACCTTCTTTATTGATTCACCCTTGTTCAACCTCTTAATTGTATTCACTTTTGTTTCCAAAGGTGCAATTACTCTCTTCCGCTTTCCACTCATATTGCACAGAAAGATTCTCTCTTACACTCACAAAAATCAACTTATGAAAAATTAATTATGAAACCGAAACTAATAACTGGAATAAATTCACAAAACAGTACATAAAAGGAAAAATATTACCGTACAGATACTTAATTTGACGATCTGAACGACAGCAAACAAATCGGTAGTTCAATTCACATTGATTAACATAGAAAGGAACAGGAAGTTGTAGACAAAACACCACACAGAAATTTCTGCGCATGAAATCTCTTTCACATCAGCTTGACCTAAAGCATACCTTACAAATAATTCTCTTCTTATCAATAATCCAAAATTTTCAATTGATTGCCCATATAACAGCTTCCGATATAACTTCTGACCATCGACCCTTTTTTATTACTCGATATTGTGATTCAACAAGTACGACTATAAAGGTAAATAAAGGTAAAACCAAGGCAAAATTTTGCCTCGGTTAACCGAGGGGCTCGGATAACCTAGACTCGGATAATCGCGAATCTACTGTATGTAAGTAAGTAGGTACAGTACACTATACAGTTAACAGTACTGTAACATTGACACATAACAAAGTTCATCTCAAAACAAGTTATGGCTGTTTTCTTTTAAGTATAAAACAATTTACCTTATACAGAAAACGCAAAAATTCACCAGAATGACTTAGAATAATAAAGAATTACACTTATCACCTAACAGTCAAAATTCAGTCAAATTCGCTTATGCTCAATTTTAACAACCTTCTTAAATTTAAAATGCACTATTAGGCAGCTTGTGCTTACTCTTACAAAATTGCGACACTACATGTGAAATTTTAAAACTGTCAAACATCCATTTTTCTTCGGTGTACAAAAACCTAAGCGGGATGTTTAAAAAGGTTGTTAATGTTTTCTCCCTGTCAATATTACCGGTTTTAACTTATCTAAGATTAAATAATTGATGGATTCGATCATTACTTGATGGAAATTCATTTTATGTAACAATAAAACACTGAAAACTTTGTTTTCAAACTTCCAAAAATTTTATATTAACTCTTATCACAACAGTTTCGGCTGATTTGAGAAAGGTAATCAGCCGAAACAGCTGTAGTGATAAGAGTTTCAGCCAAAAATGTGTGATAAGACTTAAAATAAATTTTGTGGAAGTTTGAAAACCAAGTTTTCAGTATTTTGTAGTTACATTATCTAAGATTGCTTGTAGCTCATTTTAATGTTGTAACAGTTCATTGACATTCCATTCCATTATTCGAAGTTGATTAGCAATTTTTAATTTTCCGTTTATTTATTTATTTAGTGTATGGACTTTCACAGTACGATAAATATACAAATACAATAATATATACATATATATTAAATATATTATTCAAACACTAAAGATAGAATGAATGACACTAAATATTAATGTCCAATTTACATAGCCATTCAATTGCTTCTGGGGAACATTCCGCAAAGTCCTGGAGGTTTCCACAGTAGGCACGATTCAAGCAGTCTGAAACACAATGGCTTATGGTCTGTCTAGATTGTCTGCAATCGCACTGTGGACTTTCTGCACGACCCCACCTGAACAGCGAATCAGCACATTTACCATGTCCGGTACGTATACGATTAAGCCTTGCCCAAGTGCACCGGGGCAGATTTGATCCGATGAAACCTTGAGTTGGGGTGAATATCTTAATATAGTCCGATTCTATTGTTGGCATCCATCTTGTTGTCCATTGCCTGTGTATATCATAGGAATTACCAATTTTTCGGGCAGATCGTATTGGAGGATTTCTAGATCTCAGTCGCTGGTGCTCTTTTCAGATGTCTGGGATATCTTGATGTATTGGTAATTGTACGTTGGCTACAATTTTCTGGTACTCTCTCACTAATGCTGCTGTATGGCGTAGAATATTCTGCCACTGAAAAAACCAAAGCTAGACCAGAGGTCCGAAGAGTATCTGCAGAAGCACCCCAAGTTGTTCCAGCAAGTTTTGATATTAAGTTATTTCTTGTTCTTAGTTTACCGGCCGCGTCTTGTTCTCAGTTTAATTTTCCGTATAGCACCTTTACCGCGATTTTCCAATCTGGTCACTTTTACGTCTTTTTGAATAATTTTTATCCATCTTGATTAGTTTTTGATTGTTTTGCATTATTTACCGCATCACTATTTTTAAATTTTCAGTAACTTTTTGCGCTCTTGGTTTTAAGCCATAAGTGAAACATTGCCTGATTGTTAGTGCCAACATTTTTCAATTTGTCAAATACTGAGCTATGATGATCTTGTTCTAACGGAGGTATATGTCTTCGGTACCAATGTTTCACTATTTATCGTAACATACAAATTATAAAGTAATAAAATAAACATTTTGAATATTTTAACACTTATTATTATCATTAATATAAACTATTTTGGTTCTAGTTTAGGTATGCAAGTAGGTACGATAAATTTTTGATGGTATTGGGACTTTTGTCCGCAACCGGAACAGGAATCTTACAACCACTAAATACAATTCTCTTTGGTACCCTTACAGGGGATATTATTGAATATGCCATGTCAATACAAATAAATTTACCAGCCGATCAGAAAAAAATAGCAGAAGACAAATTTTTTGATGGTATACGACATTTTGCCCTAATGAATTCTCTGATTGGAGTAGGAATGTTTGTTTTCAGTTATCTCGCAACAGTCACCTTTAACTATTCTGCTATGAGACAGGTGAGATTTATTTTAAGTTACAGAATGTGGTTTTTGTGTTTTTTTTTAACACTAAACATTAAGTTTAAATAAATATTTATGTACATGTTTTTCGTAGATATTCAAAATAAGGTCTGCATATTTAAAATCCATTTTAAATCAAGATGTAGGTTGGTACGATATCAATCAAACTGGAGATTTTGCCAGTAGGATGTCAGAGTAAGTTTGATTTATTATTATTTGTGCATATTAAAGTTTTAATTTTTCTAGATTGATATTTATTGTATAATATTCAATATTTTATTTCCATGCACCTATTTGAGATTTACCGAATTCAAACAGTATCTATATGTACCTTATGTCGTTACTTTATGTTTGTGTTCATATTGGTGTTGTTAATTTTTTGTACATACTATTGATTGCTGTAATAAGGTGTATTGGGTGTCTTCTTTATCCTATTACAAACGCGTTTCAATTACGATGTTATTTTGGATGCGAACATTGGTCTAACAGATATATTGTTCTTAAGTGGAGGAAAAGACTTCCATATTTCAGTAATGTCATATTTATTTAGTCTGTTAGGTTTTATATTCTTCGTTGTTATGGTCGGCTCCATATCTTGTATGACCTCCGTATTTTGACAACTCTTTTTATTCTTGCATGGTCAGTTTCACAAGAAGTTTGTTCTTCTCCATACAACTGCTAGGGTTATATCCTAGATTCTCATAGTATTATAGCCACTTTTAAACAGGCGGCATCTTTTTCCATTCTGTTACTTTTGTTTATCATTTAGTAAAAAAATTTTTGGTTTTGATATGCACAATGTTAAATTTTACTAATAAACATTTTCCATGATTGCTAATGTGTTGGAAATTCTTTTTGATTCGTTCTGATCTTTCCCGTAAATTTCTTTCTTTTTCCCTGTATTATGTTACAAGTGTTTGTGATATGCTCAATTCTTTTTAATTTCTGTATTTTTCACTTATTTCACTTCATTTTTTCACTTATTAATAACAATTCTGTTCTGTTTTCTTATTTTTATTTATTTTCCTGTCTTCATAATAAGCTACTTTTTTAATATAAGTTTAAAAATCCTGTCATTATTCATTTGTATCTGGTTCGGTAGATTCTTATTCCAGATATTGATTTACATGTCTATAATAAAATAATTTTATAATTCTCCTTGTATCGACTAAACTATAAACGCTTCGTCTTCTCTCAAAACAAGTACGGGGCATACAGACCAATACAGAAACGAAAACACTCTCTAAAATTCAATATCGCTACATACAACATTAGAAACCTATCGACGGAAAAAAAAGTACTAGAACTTCAAGAAATATTAAATAAAACTTAGTTTGTAACTAATATATTTTGCTTACCATAGGGTAAGATTATGGGAATTGAAAATTGGGGACAGGAGTAACTGGGGTGGAAAAAGGGCAAACAAAATAAAACGATACTTATGCGAACGGCACTGAGGGTTTGTTTGGAGAGCTGGGGTCGTGGATGAGTAAATGGCAAGGGGTCGAATTGGGGCAACTACAAAAATGAAACAAAGATGTACTTACATGAATCTCATGGGACAAACAAAACAAAAGAAAACACCTCTAGCAATTTAAAAAGGACGCCAAATTATAACGATTACAACAGCTAGTTATAACTATTGAAATATTTATTAGAAATACAAAATATATCTTTTTTAATGAAGCTCTAAAAAGGGGTTAGAGAGTTAGTCAAGATAAACAAACAAAATGGTTTAAAAAAAAATTAAACATTTATTTTGTCTCATCACAAACAAAATACAGAATGCAAAAATATATAGTCGCAAAAATACAAAAATACAAAGAAAAACTTACATGTGTCCTGATCTGTTTACAAACTCTAGGAGTTGGAAATATTCCAAAAACTCACAAAAACATTGTTAAATATTGTTAAAAATTGTTAAATAAAGAAATATCTTTAAAATGAAACTATTCATAGACAGGATAACCTTCTTTAAAAACAAAACAAACTATTAAAAAAATAATTTAGCTAGCTGTCATATGTTAACATTAAATTTTAAATCTGAAAACAAATAAATTTACAGCCAAAGTCAAACCCTAAAATTTACAATTTTAAATATTACAACTTTTATATTTGAATGAAAGCAACTATTACTTTAGAAAAAAATGTCTGTCTTTTATTTTAAATTTTAACACAAAAAGTTACCTCGATTTTCACTAAATTTTTCTAAACTTCTGGAGTAGGAAACTGGGCCTACTGGACTTGAAAAACATTTCTGGGAGAACTGGACTGGAATCTCTCGACACACGAACAAAAAAACTGCATATCACACTGCCAATTATTAAGATTGGAAGTTGGGGCACTGGAATACAAACTTTGGAAACTCAGCTTCTCAAAAAACAGAAATAGGTAAAGCTGGGCACAATGGCAACATTTTAAATTTTACTTTAACTACAACCACATATTGAACTGACTAAACTGTTACTATTAACTTTACAAAACACTAGATTTCCATAACAAGGAAACAATAAAAAAACATTAACGAATCTGAAGAAAATTCAGACTAAACGCTGAAGCCTACCGCTCTTGACCACGCCTCAGCGAGAGTGTCGCAATTATCTTGCCGGAAAAAACTCCTCAGCGATCTCATGGATGTTTATTTCAAACGCATATATCGAGCGGTTTAATGATCAAAGAATACTGAGAAAATATAAACAACTCTAAAAATGGTTTTTTAGAGTTACCAAAAAGCGTTTGATCGTGTCCAACACCACAAGTTAATGCAGATTCTCAAGAAAGTTGATATAGACCAAAAAGACATAAGATGCATTGAAATCTTCTACTGGCATCAAACGGCACAGTTAAAAATAGACAATTCTATATCCAAACCCATACATATAAGAAGAGGCGTTCGACAGGGATGTGTGCTTTCCCTCTTTTATTTAACATTTATTCGGAAGCCATATTTCAAGAGTCTTTGGAGGATGCAGAGATGGGAATCAAGGTGAATGGAGTATTGATCAACAACATACGATATGCTGATGATGGTGTCTTAATTTGTAACAACATAGTCGATCTTCAACAACTTGTCACTATAATCGGAGAATACAGTAAGCGAATGGGATTAGAGATTAATACCAAAAAGACCAAATTTATGATCGTCTCCAGAAACTTAGATGCACTTGAAAACTCCACCATAACACTGAATACTAAGTCCATTGAAAGAATAAGTAAATTTAAATACCTGGGATCGTGGCTTTTTGAAGACTGGACATCGGACAGGGAAGTAAAATATCGCATTGAGCAAGCTCGACAAGCTTTCGTAAAATTCAAAAAAAGGACTAACTTGTTCAGAGTTTGATCTTCAACTGAGACTAAGGTTTACTAAGTGCTACGTATGGTCAGTGCTGCTATATTGCGTAGAGGGCTGGACACTCAAAACGAGGGATATAAACAGATTAGAAGCTTTCGAAATGTGGCTTTATCGCCGTATCCTAAAAATACCATGGACAGCGAAAATCACAAATATAGATGTCCTTAAAAGAATAAACCAAGAACGCCAACTTTTCGAAACCATCAAGAAAAGGAAAACGGCGTATCTAGGTCACATCAAACGAAATGAAAAATACCAGTTCCTCCAATTTATAATCGAGGGTAAAATTGAAGGCAAGAGAGGAATGGGAAGCAAGAAAATGTCCTGGTTCCGAACCATAAGGCAATGGACAGGGATTAACGACATACAATCTCTGATACATATTGCAGAGAAATAGAGAATTAATGGAAAATGTGATCGCTAACATCCATTAGTAGATTTGCATCTGAGGAAGAAGAAAAATGGTTTATTTTACTCGGCGACGTAAAAAGAATGAAATACTATTTGAGTCTTAACTCGTACGATAGGAGCAGAGAAACATGAAAAACAGTCTTCTTTATTTTAGAACATATATGAGGGTATTTCAATTTAAAACATATACGAGGGTATTTCAATATATATATATATATATATATATATTATATATATATATATATATATATATATATATCAAGGAATTTATATAACAAGGAAATGCAAATGCTAAAAGTTGGGACATTCAGTTTACTGCTGATGCTGAGAATTCCATGGATACAAAAAGTCACCAACGGTGAAGTACTTCTGCGCATGAGTAAACAAAAAGAATTACTCAGCATAATTAAAGAGAGCAGAATGCAATACTTGGGTCATGTATTGGGAGGTGAAAAATATGAATTACTCCAAATCATATTGGAAGGTAAAGTGCAGAGCAAAAGACCAGTTGAAAGACGTCAGAACTCGTGGCTAAATGACCCGAGAAAATGGTTTGACCGCTCATCGACAGAAATATATCGTGCAACAGTCTCCAAAGTTACAATTGCTATTTGGATCACCAACCTTTGGAAGGAGATGACTAAATAAAAAGAAGAAGTATTTTATAGCACAAAGAAAAGCGTTCAGAAGAACTTAAACAATTTTAAGAAGACGTCAACACGACCCTTTCAATTACTGGATACAGTTAAACTTTTCTCATAGGAGACTTCAACGCCAAAGTCTTAAAACGACTGTATAAAGTTAGGGAAGTAATCGTCCAATTTGGAATCGGAGTCACTAACGATAGAGGCAGTACTTCAATTAACTTTCTCTCACAGCATCTAAACAAGACAGCTAAAAAAAAATTCTAAAAAAATCAGGAAAGGCGTAAGAAAATTTAATTAATTGCCAAACGCTTGTAAGGTTAACTAATCTTCTATCAATCAAAAGAATAAGCAAGTTTTAGAAAAAGTTACAAGACAAATCATCAACATCAAGCTAATAAAGTACTTTGTGTTGATCGATTTCCATGAAGAATTTGACACAGTAAAACTAACATCAATAATAGCAGCACTGGAAAAATGTAGAATAGATTACATATACAGGCTTATAGAATACACATACAGTAATGCCACTACAACTGTCTTCGTGAAGCAGCAGGTAAAATTAAAGTAGACGGAGAAGTTAGATAAAGGAATACCATTCCGCCAAAAATTTTTGTAACTGTATACTTATATTCGAAGATAGTAGGTATCATTCGTATCAGCTTATCACAGACAACATCCCTATTGCAAAACAGATGATTAACGAAATAGTAAAGGCCTCATTGGAAGTTGGTCTGCAAATACGAGCAAAACTCAAATGATGACAAATCTAGTCTTGAACAAAACACCAGAATAAGGGAATTAGACATAAAACAAACACATGTGTACAAATGGATTGGACACGAAAAACAAATTGGAAAGAACAACCAAACGCATTAGGTACCTACTGCATGGAATAAGTTTTGATTGGGCTGCTTTTGGAAAATTACGGGAGGGTACTTACGAGTACATATTATATAGATAATTATAAGACTATATAATAACTTTTTTCTTTAAAAGTCAAATAATGATGGCATTTTTATACCAAACATCTTCGGTAACTTGCCGTACTCCTCTTGTATCTCACCACTCTTGGAAGTGCTTGTACGCTAACCGATACTTAATTCCGGACTTGGAGGGCCCCAAACGTGCTACTGCATCATTAGCCGCGGACTCAATTCCGTTTAGGTTTACCATTTTCGCACTAAATTTGCGCTTGCAGTTGCAACAACAATAAGCTGTCTTTAATAATTGCACACAACTGTAACCAGGGAGACGCAAATCCCACCGACGACTTAATTATTTTAATTTCTAACATCTAGACGACTTTGATAGTTGTCACAGTTAATTTCGATTAAAATATCGTATAAATTGTACTATTTATTGTTGAAAATTGCTACGTTTGAAGAAAAAATTGTATACTTTATTCGGAAAACCAGCGACTTTTCTTGACTTGCCCTCAATTACGCGCCTCACTTCGTTCGGCGCGTAATATCGGGCGCGTCAAGAAAAGTCATGCTTCTCTGCCTCATAAAGTAATATACTATTTCTTCTGTAATTCATATTCAATTCTTTGACTTCTTTAATTTACTCAGTACTCAAATTGTTCCGACTACTAGGTAGTGGTCGAAATATATGTTTCTGGGTACCTAAGTATTTTCTAATTGGTTCGTAATTTTTAAATTTGAATTATCTGCCTTAATGACACATTTAATACCAATATCTTATTTATAAAATTTGTTTTTATCATGTACTACTTAATTATATTGACTTGACTTATACTGACAATTTTTTAGCGATTTGTACAAATTTGAAGACGGCATAGGAGAAAAAGTACCGGTATTCTGGAGTTTTCAAGCTGTTTTTTTAACTTCACTTGTCATAGCCCTTGTGAAAGGATGGGAACTTGCTTTAATATGTTTAACCTCCCTACCCGCCACATTAATAACAATCGGAATTGTAGGACTTGTAAGTAGAATTAATAATAAACTTATTGTATACATGGTATGTCAATTAAATGTTAAATTTGAACGTAAGAGATAGAATATTAGATGTATTTAAAAAAAATATTAAAATTTAAACTGTTTTCTTTGGTTTTTTTACAGCTTACCACAAAATTAGCAAAAAATGAATTGGAAGCCTATGGCGCAGCAGGATCAATAGCTGAAGAAGCCCTGTCTTTAATAAGGACCATAACTGCTTTTGGAGGCCAAAAGAAAGAAGTAGACAGATATAATAAAAATTTAGTGGAAGCCAAAAACAATAATATAAGAAGATCGATGTTTAACGCATTAGGTTTTGGTCTATTGTGGTTAATGATTTATGCCAGTTATGCTCTGGCATTCTGGTATGGTGTAAAATTGGTTTTAAGGGATCGAACAGCGAAGAATCAAATATATACTCCTAGTAATATGGTTACTGTAAGTACTTAACTTTTTTGTTTTTATAATAGTAACATATATTTTAATCTTATATATAAATTTTATAGGTTTTCTTTAGCGTAATGACAGGATCTATGAACTTTGGTATTGCATCTCCTTATATAGAGGCATTTGGAATCTCAAAAGCGGCTGCTTCAAAAATTTTTAGTGTAATTGATCATATACCGACAATTAATTTATCGAAAGGAAATGGAAAAAAACTAAACGTTCTCAAAGGAAATGTACAATTTAAAGATGTGTCTTTCCATTATCCGTCTAGAAAAGATGTACCGGTATGTATCCTGCTTTTTCAAAACATTTTAAATCATAAGAATAGCAACCATAAGCTTTATGAACGATTTTTAAAACTTTTAGCATCAGTATCCTTACCTTACTCATTATTTAGTGAACATGGACAGTTTTTGTATGCCAAATATATATATATTTAATATTTTTTAAGGTTTCATTATAATTTTGTCTACTATACTATAATTGTCTACTATTGAATGATATTCACGTAATATTTAAAATTGTTTAAATCAATATCTTGTTATATTATGTTACAGATATTAAAAGGATTAAGTTTGAACATTAAATCTGGAGACACTGTGGCACTCGTAGGCAGTTCGGGCTGTGGAAAATCTACAGTTATTCAGTTAATTCAACGGTTATATGATGCAGAGTCTGGAGAGGTAAAAAATCCTTTTACTTTAGTGCTAACTGTTCGTTTTTAGTTTAAGTTTTTTTAGGTTACCATAGACGGAAACAATATTAAAGATTACGATTTAGCTTGGCTAAGAAGCCAAATAGGAGTTGTAGGTCAAGAACCAATTCTTTTCGGAACATCCATTGCAGAAAATATTAGGTATGGTAAAGATGGAGTAACAGAGGAAGATATCATTCAAGCAACTAAAAAAGCTAATGCTCATAACTTTATTAAGGCTCTTCCTAACGGATATAATACATTGGTTGGAGAGAAAGGAGCTCAACTCTCAGGTGGACAAAAACAAAGAATAGCTATAGCTAGAGCTTTGGTAAGAAATCCTACTCTACTACTTTTGGATGAAGCTACATCTGCACTGGATAATACTAGTGAAGCTAAAGTACAAGCAGCTCTAGATGCGGTAAGTAATACTAAATTTATAAATATAGCTATTTAACTAAACTTTTATTTAGTTTATTAATTTATAATAAAATTAAATCTTTTTTTCTTTTCACCAAATAATTAATATCTGTGTTTTTCTCAATGAAAATGAGGTGCAATGAATTTTAGAGATTCTCACTGGTATTTTTTAAATAGCAAGTATACAGCAACGTATAATAAAACACATACAAGAAATATTGGACAATTCATATTTAAATTCGTTCAAGTATCCAAATAAATCAATGTTAATATCGAAATTCAGCGTGCTGGCTAACAACTGCAATATTAGCAACCAACATATGAGAGATATAATTCTGCATTTAACAAATATTGAATAAAGAATGAAAAATGGCAATATTTATGTTTAAAATGGTAACTTAGATGAATTAAATGATAACCAAGATTCACATTTTGAAAGAAAAGACGTTGTGGCAATTCTTTATTTTATAGACTATTTTTCGTCATTCCGTCACGCTCATTTATTTATTTATCGTATGGCAATTACAACACATTTAGAACAAAATTACAAACACTAGTAATATAGGTATATGACAAACTTTAAATAATTACAAACAAACATCAAGTGTATTAACATAATCAATTGACTCTGAAGTTGCAAACAGGAAGTCTTCAGGGCTACCGTTATAGGATCTTGAGGGACACTCTTCAATAATGTGGTCGATCGTTTGGTCCTTCCCACAGTCACATTGGGGAGACGGATTCTTTCCCCATTTATGTAGCATGTATGCACATCTGCCATGTCTGGTTCGGATCCTGTTTAGAGTGGACCATGTTTTACGTGGAAGATCAAAACCTGGTGGCTTGTGGGTAATACAGGGCATGTTATTTTGCCATGCATTCCATTCTTGGGACCATGCATTCGTGATGTTGAACTCCTCATGTATCATTCTTGCCGTTTTCATTGGTGGTTTTCTAGAACGTAGACGGGTATTTCGTGCATCCTCGGTATCTTGTAACTCATCGTAAATATGAAGGTGGAATGTGACTTAATACTGGAAGCCATTGGGTGGGAGTTGATTTAATTGTACCAGCTATCACCCTCATAGTACTGTGCAGCTGAGTATCGACCTTTTTTACGTGTGGACTGTGTAGCCAAACTGGGGCACAATATTCAGCGGTCGAGAAAACAAGGGCTAAAGCAGTAGAGCGGAGAGTGGAAGCCGATGCTCCCCAGGTGGTACCGCAGAGCTTCTGTATAATGTTATTTCTTGTACTCAACTTTTGGGCAGTTTTTGTTAAATGCTCTTTAAATGATAGCGTTCTGTCTAGTGTTACGCCCAGGTACTTCGGTGTTTTGTTGTGGGAAAGTGTGGTATTTTCAAACCGTATGTTGAGTTCCTTTCCAGCAAGTTTATTGTTCAGGTGAAAGCAACTTACTTCTGTTTTGGATGCATTTGGTTGAAGCCGCCACTTGCGAAAATATTTGCTCAATATATATAAGTCTGCCGTCAGAACTTCTTCAGATGTTTCTAGTGTTCTACATCGTGTATTGAGGGCCCAGTCATCGCTAGTCCCGCTAGTCCCGCTAAAATGCAATCTATTTGGGCGTTATAGTGACATAATATGCCTGAGTACGATAGCAATGATCTCTATATGAAACAATAAGAAGTCAGGAGACTTCTCTTCGATAGCGAATTAGTTGAACCGCAAATCCAAGCTTGCTGGAAGCTATTAAGTTTATTCCGACAGTACATCTATAGTGTTCATCCTTGAAAAACTCTATCTTGTGCACTATTTACGTTAGAGAAATTAGAGTGGTGGTTTATACCTTTTCTTCTTTTCCTACTGGGCTCGATTTTAATATAGATGTTTTTGGATATAGATGGCATACGAGGTTTTGGAGAAGTTTTCTGAGTAAGGACAGAGCTCAAATGGGGCTGTAATGCCATAGGATGGATCGAATATTTTATAAGCTGGTTCTAGCATCAACCGTCCTATTTATTTATCTTCATTGTGGTCAAAAACTAAATCCGTAATTAAAAATAAAAGGCATGTTCCATAATATTCATAAACCGATAGTATATAAATAGAAGAACACCATATTGATATATGATTTCAGTGCACGAGATGCAAAACTCGCTTAATGCATGTAAAGTCAATTTGAGAAAAGTGCAAAAAACGTTTTTTGCATTATATTTTTTAATAACCAATTAATGATGTTAGCGTGCCTTTAGAACATATACACCTCTAATAGTTTTTAACATATTTTAAAAAAATAGTGCAGATTTTTTAAATAAATGAAGAAAAAAGAATGCATTTAGCGAGTTTTGCACCAAAAAATGTTACATCAATAGTTTGAAACAAATTTTATTCACAAAGAAATTAAACAGTGATTTACATATTACATTAAATTGGTAAATTAATATCGCAAGGTTTTAAACCACTGCAGCCAGCTTCAACATCGTTTACAGAATTTTGGTTTTCCACCATTCGAGGGTTAACAAGATTTTCTTTAAAGAAAACCAAATCAGGATTTTCTTCCCAGGCGTTTCCATAATGTTTTTTGAGAAGAGAAATTATTGTCGATTTATCGCCTTTGAGTTTGCAGCCAATAGGAAGTTGAGTAGGATTGATACGTGTCAATTTTATTCCTCTCTTGACAACAGACTTGGCTTCACCGACGTCAACACAATAATTGGGCTCACCTCGTATTAGTGCATTGGTTTTCCCTTTAGTAAGCACAAACCTTTTAGCCTTATTAAACTGAAAGTGCCATGAGGATGGTGCTTTGGTGTTTACTTGTGCTTCATTCTTCCAGTCATACACCTGCCAATCTAAACCCAATTTTCTAATTGTCGACTTATTTGCTATAATATCTTCGTAGTCAGAAGTTTTAAAATAATGGATTTCTTTTTAACCTCTCTTTCAATTATTCCGAACAACCTATCAGGTGGTATAAAAGAATGTCCTACTACGGGGAATATTATGTTAATGGTCTTTATGTTTTTGGGAGCTTTCGTCATCAACCAAACAGAAAGCATGGTCATCATTATAATATTCTTATTTTGCCCCCCACATCCATCAGCAAATAAACGAATTGTATCGATTTCATTGGGAAAGTTAAACTTATTCAGTACATCCCAAACAGCTGAAGCTATCGAATTAGAATTTTTGGGAAAATCAACCTCCGTCCAAACATAAGAATAAACATTTTCTGGAACCAACTGTGCTGCTGATGATCCATGAATTACCGTAAAGTTGTAATAGTTAATTTGTTGACTAAAATAACTAGCTTGATCCGGAAGCTTCGGCAAAGGCAAATTTTTCTGACAATCAAACGAAAAAACCGCTGTATTTTCTAGCGGCTGCTTTAATAAGGCAAAAAATGCCTTTGCTTTAAGTCTATGTATCCGTTGCTCGGTGATAATAATTTGCTTTTCTGAACTAGAAATATTTTTGTTTTTTAACTTTTCCTTCGATCTTAAGCAGGTTGAGCATAAATCAGTTTTTGGGGTGCCAAATCCGATGTTGTAATTAGAATTTATGTATGTCCTAAAAAATGCCAGTTTAACATGTAGTTGGTTATCGCGAACTTTAGATTCGTATATTTTCCATAATTTTGTAAAATTAAGTTCACATGGTAAATAAACACGAGTACTGATTTGACTTCTACAGTAATGGCTCTCTATGCATTGGAGAGATTCAATGAAATGTTTTATTGCTAACTTTTTATCATCGTTTTTATTAAGTATGCGATCACCTCCTCTTGTTTCTCGTGGTATATTCCCTTTTAAAACAAAGTTTTTCATGACTCTCTCAATCCGATCTCTACTAAGGGATGTGATTTTTAAGAATGCCGTCTTACAAACACGGATTTTTTTAGCAGAAGTGGTTACATAATACAAAATGGATATTTTTTCCTTTTCCACTTTTGATCTTTTGCACTTCTGGCCTTCACAAGTTGCAAGTTATAAAACTATCTTGTCTACATTTTTCCTTAGAAGCATACAGTTTTCTATGAAAATCTTGAATTTCGCTCATTGTTAAAGTGGCACAAAAGTATGGCTTACCTGGCTGACCGTTATGTCCACAGGTCGGGTACTCCGGTAAATGTGTCGGAGTGTGCCTAAAATAACACAGTTTTAAAAAAATATTCTAACAAATTGATATCGTTTTTATTACCTTAATCTTTTGAGCTTTTGTCTTTTACTTTCCGTCGTAATTTTCGTTCTACACATGTTCTTTGGAGTAGGTTGTATTGCAGAACTAACACTATCATTGGCTGCAGAAATTTCACTGTCTATTTGCATTTTAATAATTTTAAAAACGGGAAACTTCAAGTTAAACAAACAATTCAGAATACCGCTAAAACGCGACTGAGTCAAACGGTCAAACCACACCAGGAAACAAACAAAATGCATGATGCCCTTCCCTAACCACGTGAGTAAAATCCGATGCTGTGATTGAACGCCGTACAAATAGAGAGTTTTGCATCGCACGCATCAATGCATAAAGCGAGTTTTGCATCAAGTCATGATTTTTGGGATGGATTTTCGTGTGTTAAAAAGCTAGTTTTGCTCCAAATACTTGTGTAAAATAATAATTAAATATTGTACGAACAAGATGGCGTGCTTAACTACTTTTTTCAATTTTTGTCGATTAGCGAGTTTTGCATCTAGTGCACTCATTTAATTTTACAGTATTTTGTAGATTATCTTTAATTTTGTAAACAAAAATCAAAATAAATTCTAATATATCTTTTTAGGCGAGTGTTGAATGTACAACTATAATTGTAGCCCACAGGCTGTCAACTATTCGAGGTGCAAATAAAATTATCGTACTTTCTCAAGGAGTTGTGGTAGAAGAAGGAACTCACGACGAACTAATGGAACTTAAACAAGAATACTATAGGTTAGTAACAGCCCAAGTCAAATCATCGGAACAGTTTGAAGTCGCTGAAAAGAAGAAAGTAATAAGAGCTATTAGCTTAGCAGAAAGTAGTACAGGGTCTGACCATCACATCGAGGTAAGTCATAATCAATGACGTATAATATATAGACTCGGTGAACGCTTTAAAAAGTGTCCAAAACATGAATACCTTTGTTATTGTTTATTGTTTTGATACGAAGATGCACGAAGTTCATGATTTCTTACGAAGCATCACGAAGTTGATCTTGTGTTTGAAAACATTATGGACGTATGAAAACATTTTCTCCATTTTGTGTGACAAGCAAATTTTATTTTAAATTGTTGAGAGTTATTTACTTACTATTTTAGTAAAATGCCATTCTATTTTATCAATATAATTAGTTCTCTTATAGACGGGAACAAAAAGAAATCATAAATATTTAATTTTAATTAAAAAAATAATTATGTATTGTCATTAACATACAAATGAGCACGCCGCTGTTCTGGTAAAGATACCTTCAACCTTGAGCCGAGATCTTTCGGACACTCGATTCTATAGCGAGAATAGGGGACTGCGTAGTCTATATATTATACGTCATTGGTCATAATCCTACATAAAAATTTATGATTAATATAAATGTATTGCAATAATATAATATTCGATGCAAAGTTAAACGAAAAGTCCAACTAACGACTTCCAGTCCTACTTCCGGTCAAGTTGGGTGAATCCCTAGGACTTGCGAAGTCCAATTGCTGGTTTGTGTAATAGACAAATTGAACATAAGGGATAGTAGTGATTTTCTCCTTTTTTTTAAATTGCCGTATCACCAGATTCCAGTAAGAGCCTAAGAAGGGATCCATTGAATTCTGACGGAGGGGGAAATCTTTTTTGGACATCTACGTCACGGAACAAGACACCCTGGCATATTTTGGCCTAGTAAGATACTAAGCCAGAAGACCCGAATGCCGGTTTAACCGTGTTCCGGCTAAAACCTTAACCATCGTTCTAGTGAGGTGGTCTTGCTACTCAATGAACAACTGAAATAAAAAACTAAAAATTTATAAATAACTACTCATTACGGTAAATCAGAAAGTATTTTAAAAGTTTGGCCATAAACTAAAAAATATTATTATCCATAAATTTCAGATCCATGGCTGAATTTCCTCCTCTGTCTTCCTGCTTCTTTTTCTTCGTCACTTCAGAAATCAGACAGTGTACTTTTCTCCACTCTTTTTCTGCTCTCAACATTATGTTAACAATGTTTCTTTCATCTAGTTCGAAACCCCATTCATCTCTCGAAAGCTCCCCTCTCATTTTTCCATCTCTGGTAGTTAAAAATATGGGCAGCAGCGTCCGGTACCCCACATTGGTGCCTAATTATACCAATTACAACCACTAGTTGTAACTAGGGAAATAATTATAACACATAAAAAACATATCTTTTTCAAATAAAACTCAAAAAAGGGGTTAGTTAAAAAATTACCAAAATGTTAAGAAAACAAAATTTAACGTTTATTTTTGTGTAAAAATAATAAAGCTAGCTATCATATGTTAACATTAAATTTTAAAAACTAAAAACAAATAAAATAACAGCTAAAGTCAAAACCCAAAATTTACAATATTTAATATTACTATTTTTTAAATTTTATTGAAAGCAATTATTTATTTAAAAAATTGTGTCTCTTTACTTTAACAATTGATCAAAAGTTAACTGGATTTTTCACTAGCAAACTGCACTAAAATTTCTGGAACCAGACGCCACTGGAACCTCCGAAACCATAACTGGAACTGGGGGCTTCACTTACTCTGCGTAACGAACAACTCCATCTCCAAACTGACAAAAAGCCTTTAAATGACAACCAGGAAGAAATAAAACGAGGATGGAAACAACGATTCTTCCAATCCTCACTTAAAACATACAAATTCTACGATGAACCTACAGCGACCCAAGTAAGAATGACGAAATTATCTTAAGAATTCGTTCACATTACTTGGAGTAACAAACACTTGACAGGAATTAAAACGCAGAAGATTATATTTCTACGACGTACAAAAATTATAAGGCGACTTCGAATAAAAAATTTAAAAGAAAATGCCGAGAAAGTACACATCTTTAAAATAATAAACAACTCTAAAATGGTTTTTATTACTTGGCGACGCTGAAAAGAACGAAATATTATTTGGGTTTTAAAACGTACCAATAGGAAACTGACATGCACTAAAATTACTCTTCGATTTTTTCAAACATATACCAGGGGATTTCAATATATTACATATACGAGGGGATTTCAATATACACCAAAAAATCAATGAAATTGCAAATGCTACAACTGATGCTGGTATCTTTTTCTCTTATGGACCTGTGAGTAAAGTATCTGTCAATTACTTTGACCAGGTACTCACTAACGCCCAATTCTCTCAGCCTGGGCATAATTTTTCCCCATGATGCCCATTTTCCATCTCTTTGTATCCTTCGTAACTAAATCTTGAGTTTTTAGTAATAATTTAGGTTTGTTAAGTCTACAAGCATCTTATTATTGTTTAAAAAAAACGAATATTTACTTTTGACCCCGTAAATTGGTAAATAATCATTTACTAACGACATATTGTTTTAAATGTATGATATTGATTTTAATTAAAACTTTTTTTACTGAATACTATATTTTTTAAATTGTAGGCTACGGAAGAAGATAATGAAGACGATTTCAATGAAAATAAGGACGTTTCCGTTTTTGAAATACTTAAGATGAATGCTCCAGAATGGCCTTATATTTTATTTGCTGGTCTTGGGTCAATTGTCGTTGGTTGTGGAATGCCCGTTTTTGCAGTCTTGTTTGGTAGCATTTTGGGGTAAGTACAAATAAAGACATTTCTAGATCACACGTCGTTGTTGTAATAGATTTATTATGGAAAACTATCAGCTTTAAATTGTTCGTGCAACATTTATTAGATAGTTGAATTAGGTTATTTATTTTTTTACTTGTTTTTCTCTTAAAACTACTGTTATATAAGTTATCCCCGAAAATAATGCGTTCTTTAAAGATACAGATTGAACGAAATAAATTCGAAACATAGGAAACATCATGTATTTCGGCTCATTTCTGCTGTAGGAGGTTGGCCAACAAAAGGTTGTTAAATAATTATATTATAAAAACCCAATACTTCTGCGGGCTGCTGGATTCTGAACTCATAAAAATTGAAAGCTACACATAAATCTACGATTTTATTATGCTGTCAAACCACTTATAGTCCAGGAAATGAAGCATTTCACCTCGTAATTTTTTCGTCCTGCGTGGATTAACTTGAAATTTTAACAGAAGGTAGGTAATAGCCTAAGGATCAAAATCTATATCGAACCAAAGTGCGCCAAACCCTTGGGGGTGGTTGCCACCCCATCCCGGGGGTGAAAATTTTTTTTACGTTTTAACTACAGGTTTCGATTAAAAAAGTGATTATTACCAAAAAAATGTTCTATACATTTTTTTTTGTAAAACTAATATTTTTCAAGTTATTCGCGATTGAAAGTAACAACTTTTAGACGAAAAAATCAACGTTTTTAATCGATTTTTCGCGAATAACTCGAAAGTGGTGCATTTTATCAAAAAATGTAAAGAACAAATTTGTAGCTTTTAAAAACACAAGTACAATTCATTTTTTAAAATGTTATTGCGATATAATAGGAACCGAAATACGGCCTATCAATGTTCAGCGGTTTTCTTTAAATGCCAAATTTGAAAGATTCAAAGTCAAATATCGGGAAAATGATGCATTTTTGGAAGAAAACTCACGCAACCTTTTTTAAGTAGCATAAATAGATCTATCATAAAAAAAGACTCTAGCTCAAAAATTTAGTGAGTTATGATGAAAATAAGGCCAATATATCACTTTTTTACGAAAAAATCGATGAAAAACAACCCCCTAACCACTCCCATAATTAAAATCGATCTTCACCCTTCTGCAGTTCGCTTTGTACATGTATTGCTAATACGTCCAAGAAGTTTGACCCATTTAAAATGCTTAGTTTTAGAAAAAGTACAGCTTAAAGCGAGAAACGATTTACAATTTCATATTTTTTACCCTTCTTTTTTTAAATATCCCCGAAAATACTGAACATATGAAAGAAATAAAAATATACTAAATAGTAGCTTTTTTAATGACTAAAATTTTCCTTTATTTAGATTTGTTGTAGAATGAATATTTGGCGAGATATAGTCGTTTAAAGCATCGATTTACGATCAAGCACCATCTTTTTCGAGCCCTTTAAACTCACCCATTTAAAAACCAAGGGTTCCAAAGAGATTTAATTCACAGATCCTTATAGCTCTTAAAAACCTCTACAAAATCGTTTTTGAGGAAACACTCTATCGTTAAAAATGAAGGAAATACGTTAACAAACCAATTAATTTTTTTTCGGAAAATTCCAGTAGTATAACATAATAATCTACAAAACCGGTGTATTAGGTAGTGGGGCGTTATACATTCGAAATTTTAAGCGTTCTTATTTTGAAATCCCATACAACAGAATAAAACATTTGCTCATATGTTTATGGCTTGGCAATAAAAATATCAGAGCAACAGACTGGGGATGGTATTCCAAAGATGGTTTGTTATTACCCGTACGCATGAACAAACAACCTGCACCGATGAACTTTTGAAAATTATTTTTTGCCAATGCAAAAAAGGATGCGGCGTTTCATGTGGGTGCAGAAAAGTTGGTTTATACTGTAACTTTACTGGTTCTGGGTGCTCAGGTGAAGAGTGCAATAATAGTCCACCAATAATTGAAGAAGATGAGGATGACATAGATTACGATGAAGATGTAATTGATGACGAATAAAATTAATATTATAATTGTTTTACTATAAATGTAAATATTTTCATTTATTTATGGAAATGTATAAGAATAATATGGTGACTTTTTATGTTGATAAATTTTTTTTGTATTTAATTTCACTTTTTTCAATTTATATCTATTAAATTAGTTTATAAAAACTGCAATGTTGTAAAGGGTGATTTTCAAAAGTTGAAAAGTTGCAAAATTTTTGGCAAAAAATTGTTTTACCTATAGCACTCATAACAATTGATTTTTAAGGGTCGAAAAATGTATGAAATTGTATTTTAAAGTATAAAAAAATCACTATTTAACTAATCCAAACCAAATTTCACTCATCTTAAGATTTGTAATGTTATTTTACAATTTTTGAAAATTAGGGGTAGTTTTCACCCCTTAGAACAATCAGGGTTCATCGGAATGACATAAACTATAAAGCAGAGGGTGAGTTAAGCTTAACTCCAATTTTTTATGCAAATCGTTCCAAGGCGAAATCATTTTCTTCGCATTACTAATTTTTTTTACATTAATCTCTAGCAACGGTCGCTTTTTAAGGGTTGAAATATGATGAAACTTTATTCAAAAGCACGAAACTATCATTATTTAATTAATTCAAACCAAATTTTACCCATATTCAGGCTTAATATGTTATTTTATAATTTTTGACAATTAGGGCTAGTTTTCACCCCTAAGAACAATCAGGGTTCGTCTACATGACATAAACTATAAAGCAGCGGGTGAATTGAGCTTAAATCCAAATTTTTATCCAAATCGATCCAGGGCAAAATCATTTTTTTAGAATTAGTAATTTTTTACAAACAAGGGTTGCTTTTTAAGGGTTGAAATATGATGGAACTCTATTCAAAAGTATAAAATATTCATTATTTAACTAATTCAAACCAAATCTTACCCATATTCAGGTTTAATATGTTATTTTATAATTTTTGACAATTAGGGGTAGTTTTCACTCCTAAAACCATTCAGCGCACTTCGGTTCGATATAGATTTTGATCCTTGGGCTATCACCTACCTTCTGTTAAAATTTCAACTCAATTCATGCAGGACGAAAAAATTGCGAGGTTTTAACTTTTTTCGAGCTTCATTTCCTGAACTATTAGAAACTTCCTTAGACAAGCAACATTGTTACACAAACAACATTGTTGCGCGACAGATAGTTGAACGATATTTTATACAATGTCTATACCCAGGTATGGATTTATTTTTGTCCAAGTTTTATATTGGTCCACTATTTCAAATGCAGTTCAAATTGACATAATATTAAATTGTATGTTCCGTTTTAAATTCGTTCTATCTGTATAGGCACCATGTAGAGCAAAAAAAATTTTTTAAACGTTTTTTTTTTCTAAATTCAACAGTTTGACTAAAAAAACGAATATACATTTTGGTATTCTATATTTGGTATATAAAATAATAGTTTATTGAAAACTTCGAACTTTTATCCAAAACCTTAATTAATTGAGATAATAGCAAACGCCCATTATTAAAGCAAGCAATGATTATTTTGCAGATAGTACGTAGGTACATTTCCTCAGATATCAACAACCTTAAATAGTCAATAAACATGGGTTTGATTATATTAGATAACCCAAGTCAAAATTCAGTTTTTATTCAGAAACACTATGTATGACGTTGCCAGATTATTTATTTTTCTGTAAATAAGAATTTACGTATATGGAAAACAATGTAATTTTTTGGGAAACGGTTAAGTTTAGAAAAAAGAGTTATAGGACTTTTTTGTTTCAAATTGTGTATTACATCCATACCTCAAAGGAACGCACTATTTTGGGGAACACCCTACATATGTTTTTTATAATACATTTTTAGACATTAGCAAATGGTGATCCGGACTTTGTAAGATCTGAAACCAATAGATATTGCTTATATTTTGTGTTGGGAGGACTCATTACTATGGTATCTGTATTTACTCAGGTAATTATCGTCGTTATAATTTTGTATTTTATTAGACGTAAAAGTGTATTACAAATATTGTTATATTTCTATTGATTTAAAAAAACTGTGATAAAAAACTTTAGTTGTTGAAATTACAGTGCACTTTGATATCCTAGATTTTTATAGATAGATAGATCTTTACTTATAGAAAACCTAATGTACATACAATATTGGTAAAAGCACACTATAAATTTTTGATCTGTTGTTTGAGCAACGTTTTAAAATTATTAAGAATAGTACATTTTTTATAGATGCAGGTAACTAATTAAACTTAAGAAAGATTTTAAAAGAGAGCGAATTTTCGTAATGTGTAAGTTGAAATACCTTAATATTCAAGCTAGCAGAATTTAAAAAAAATATTTTTGAATTACCACAGTGTTCACCACCTTAATTTTCCTACAAGAATTACTAAAACAACATCTGAGGAGCAGACTTTCATATCGCACTTTGCCCATTTTTAAAATTTTTCAGGAAATGAGAAAAATTGCTACTCGATTATTAATAAAGTTAAAAATAAAACACAAAATATGAAAAAAATGTAATTTTTTATTATCAACTTACCCTATTTATAAGAAATAACAAGCTTTATTAGTTTTTTCAAAAAAAAAATTTTTAATGATGGACAAAACGCCATTTGATTGTCTTTGAAGGACAAAATGTGGTTTTATTTTCTTTAAGTGATGAAAATCAAAATATGAACTGAAAATTCGTGTTTGTAAAGCAATATCTGTAGTAAAAAAAATCATATGACATGTATGTCGTCCTCCAGAAGACAGCAGCATTCTTCTCCATCTTCACATTGATCGCAGGTCTGGTCCTTTTAATTACATTTTCACCATACTGATCCTTCAAAATTGGATCTAACCAAGTTAATTTTGGATCTAATGCCCATTTTTTGCCTGATAGACTAACTAAACATTTTGATAAGCTATCCAGTTTTTTCTTCTTAACAGCATGCTTCGTTGGCAATTCCGGCAGTACTATGTCACTTAGTTTTTTCTTTGGTTGAATTAAATTTGAAAACTATTTAGAATTGTCATCATTTCTGTATAAAACCTCTGTTTTATACAAGATTTTACTTTCCCCAGCAGTTTGTTTGCCTCGAGTTATGATTATTCTTTTGACTTTACTGATACCTATAACTTTTTTGAGTGAAAGTGCTCCATGTTTTATGTCATACAAAGTCCAATCAGATCCCTGCTTGCGCACTTGTCCTTTCATAGAATAGATTTCATAATATTTTTCTGGTGACTTTATAAAAGCATGGGCACGTAAATCTAGCTCAACTTGACCAAAAACTCTGGGTCAAAATCAGTCTTTTTTAGAAAGTCAGTCAACGCAGAACTTATTTCTACCACACCTCTTCCTGCTTCATGCTCAAGCCATGTATAAAAACAGGAGTTTTTGTTAAAATATCTGTCACACAAAATGCATAAAAAGCCAGTTGCTGAGAATAGAATGCTTCCGTAATAGGCGCCTTTGGAAGATTTTGGACCTGTTGAAGATCAAAGCAATATGTCACGCTATCAGCAGATTCCTCTTTCATTGATTTAAAAAAACTGCTTTGCTCGCGTCTTATGAATAGTTAAATCCATTTTTAATTTTAATCTTTGCTCTTCATCCTTGGTGGTATTTATCTCAGTGTTTGTTCTTATGCAAAAGCCACAAACATCAGTAGCTGGACTTCCAAAGGCTAAAACAAACGGGCAACTTAGTAAAAAATAAAAAACATTTTTTTAATAATATCTACCTATATTAAACTTATTGCTGAAAATTCGACTATAGTACTTGTAGTTTGTTTGAAGTGAATTATCTGGAATCTGATCATTATACATCTCCCATAGCTTTTTTATGTTTAACCGTTGATTGAATAATCCAAATATTCAATCAACGGTTTAACTCAGATGACAAATAGATTCTTCTTGACTTGCCTCTACCATAGTGGCTTTCATGGCCCTTCAAAGACGAAATAAATTTCATGACACTTTCTAATTTAAGCGCATTTTTCTTGGACTTTCTGTCTCCACCACGATTGTCTTTTTATACTAGTGCCAAGCATCTATTTTCTCCACAATTACACACACAATTAAAAATAGAGGAAAATAATTTTTGGCAAACAAAGATTTTCTTGCTATTATGCCAAACCTAAAAAATACTCAATCAGAGACCTTACAAAGTGTAATCGAAAAATAAATATGTACTGATCCTAAAGCTTGGTTTATTTAAATAAAAACTTACATAAAATTCTGTGTGAAAATCATGTGATTTACCATTCTTTCTCTTCCTTTGCCTTTTTATTTCCTTAATATTCATCTTCCGTGCTAATTTGTTATCCTGAGCATTTTTGTTCTTTTCTTCATTATCATAGAAATTTTGTCTAATATTTTTTATGTCGGCCAACAAAAGATGACAACACAATTATTTTTAAAATTCAATAACTCTGGATCTAAATCTGAATATCTAAAAGAAAACAAATTAAACCGCAAAAACACAACATAACCTGTAGTTTACTTTATTTCCCTCTTACGCTCTTTTGCCGTAGTATTTATTTTTCTTTTTCTCGTTCTTCTATTTGTATCACCTACAATATGCTCACCTTCACTCATTTTAATACTATTATCACCTATTACTATTATAAAAACAACCTATTAAGGACGAATAATATCAAATACTGTTGATTCCTAAATCAACGTCTCAGAGCAAAAAGTCGTTAAATAGTAAAAAAGCAATGCAAGCAAAATAGCGCTATTTGTTTGTCTCTCGCTACTGGACAAAATGCGTTTTGTTTGTCTAAGTGATTTTTGAAGCCAAAAATATACGTGAGATATTACGTTTAGAATATCTAGGAGTATGTAAATTAATAAATGATGTTTTGACTAATCCAACGCCACCTCTAAGTCAAAAAGTGAAAATATGGACAAAGTGCGATTTGAAAGTCTGCTCCTCATCTACCATAATTGATTATATTATCTCAGATTTCTCACCCATTGATGTACCCTCTGACCATAAAGCAGTATATACCAAGTTTAACACTCTTAACAAACAGTCCTCGAAAATCCAACATTTAGGTAGGATTTTTGTCGCTCAGAACTTGTACTCGTAAATCCAAAATTTTTGCTTGAGTTCTGGGTGGCACTTTCCCTCTGTGAACGTGGACTGTAAAATCAGTGATTTTTTAGATAAGCTTGTCTGTATTTTCAATATGGCATTTCATTTAATTACAATTAAGTCAAAACATCACAAACCCTGGACTACCAAAGGTATCCGCATTATATTATTTTTTACTTTTGTAAGCTTTGTCCATAAAATTGTACAATTTTCAGTGACAATAAAGTATATTTCTATTCTATTGTACTCGTATTAACTACCCCTTGTGGGAAGGCAATAATTCTGTTAGGTTAAAATTCAGGGTGAAATAATTTTTTTTTACAATTTAACTGGACTTAAGCTATAGGCCAGTAGTGTTTGCAGTCTTCTTGATCGCTCTTTTTATGAATCGGCACTATAATTCCTCTGTTCCATTGGTGGTAAACTAGGAGGAGATAACATATTTTTCAATATTCATTTCAATATCGTTTACAGTTATCCAAGCAATTAGTTTTTTTATACCTTTTACTAAGCTCGAAAAAAATATGCATAATAAATATACTCCTATAATTTTAGATGTATCTATTGGGAATTGCTGGTGAGAAAATGACAGAAAGAGTTAGAAGTCGATTATTCAAAGCAATTATATACCAGGAAATAGGCTTCTTCGACAAGAAAACAAATGGAGTTGGAGCACTTTGTGCAAAATTGTCTTCAGATGCTTCTAACATTCAAGGGGTAAGTGTTGGTAAATATTTAAACTCAATGATTTATGTATCTTTAAATACGCTCATACATAATGGTTAAATAATTTGTTGATACACTGGTTACATGTATTTTCATTGCATATTATCAGGTATATCAAATAAGAAAAAAAATTCAAATGAAATGTCCTAAAAATGTTTTACCAATTTTTTAGGCAACAGGAATTCGAGTTGGAACTATTCTTCAATCAATAGCCACATTTTGCTTAGCAATTGGTCTATCCATGTATTATGAATGGAAATTAGGATTAGTTACAGCAGCTTTTACACCTGTTATTTTGATTGCTATGTTCTTTGAAAGAAGAAACACCCGAGGTGGAAACGATTCAAGAGATTCCGCACTACAAAAATCAACAAGAGTAAGTATTTAAATATAATCCGTTATTACTTTCTATCAAATCAAGTTGATAAGTTCCTACACAAGAGTTTTGAGATAAAAATGGATTCTCCCTTGACTGACACAGTTCCTAGAAGAGAGGTCTAGAGATGTATGAGAGAGAAATGAGTTCCTGATAAGTACGTAAGGCTTGTGAAGGATATGTATGTATGAGGGAGAGTACACCAAAGGAAGCACTTGTGTCAAATTGACCAAAAGTTGTCCAGGGATAGTTGGTTTGCACGAAGGCTCTTGACTGAGTCCCTACCTATGTAATCTTGTTATGGATATACTAACAGAGAAGCTAATGGAGGGAGCTCCTTGTTGCACGATAGTAAAACAAATATTTCTATTAAGAAATGTGTACTAATAATATCTTACAAATTACATCTATCTGTACAAAATTTAGCTAAACAAAGCTAAATATAGATTTTTTATTTTTTAAGTGTTACTATAAATCTGCCGAATTTGTCGTTGAATTTTCAAGAGATAGAACATTAACAACTGTTACATTATGTTACAATGATATGTTACCTAGAAAAGCTTGAAAGTTGCTAGATCTTTGGCAAATTCAAAATGATATCTATGTCAACCATCTTGAATAATTAAAGAAGGCCACAGAACCTTTATTTACGTAACTAGAGGTGTTACGTTAGGAATGTCCCACGGTTACCTTCCGCAAAGGATTCATAGTTCGAAAAAATACAAAATTAAATTTCTATTACAAAAAAATTGCTTTTGTATTAAAATACACACATGTGACACAAGTTTTATTTAATACAGTTTGCTTCGGTGGTACAAATTCGACTGATTAACCATAACTATATCTACGCAATTGTATATGCGTACTCCCTGTTCTTACTTATGGTTCCCAAACGTGGACATCTACAAAAGCAAACATGGACATCATCATCATCATCTTGGTGCTACAGCCCTTAGAGGGCCTCGACCTTCTCAAGCTTTCTACGCCATTCTGTTCTGTCCCTTGCTTGAATTTTCCAGTTGCCGAATCCGATCTTCTCCGCATCTTGTGTTACCCCATCCATCCACCTCAGCTTTGGTCTACCCCGTCGTCTCATTCCTACAGGTTGCGCTGTTAGAATCTTTTTTATCATGTTCGTTTCAGGGGCCCGGACTACATGTCCTGCCCACTGCAGGCGGTTTCGCTTAATTATAGTGGTAATATCTTTACCACCAAACGTATGCTTGTAGATATTCTGCAGTTCGAAGTTATATCTACGCCTCCATATTCCGTTCTCACAGACCACTCCAAATATCTTGCGTAGCACCTTTCTTTCAAAAATGGATAGAGCGGATTCATCTGTTTTCGTTAGCGTCCATGACTCTGATCCGTATGTAAGAACGGGGACTATCAGTGTTCTATACAGCCTTATACGAGTTTTTTGAGACATACGTTTGTTAGCTAAGTACTTTGATAGACCATAATAACACCTGTTTGCAATTATTATCCGCCTTTTTATTTCCTCAGATGTATTATTATTGGGGTTAACCGATGTCCCTAGATATATGAACTCATTGACTGCTTCGAAGTTTTGGTCATTGATGATTAAATTTGTGTCAACATTTCCAGCTCTTGTGTTTGTGTTAGTCGCCATGAATTTGGTTTTATTTTGATTTATATGTAACCCCATTCGTTCTGCTGCTGCTACTAGCTCGGTTAGGATTTCCGCAGTTCTCGCCCTAGTTCTTGTTATAATGTCCACGTCGTCTGCATATGCTAGAATTTGGACTGATCTATTAAATATTGTTCCCCTGCTATCTAAATTAGCGTCTCGTACAACTTTTTCTAAGGCGACATTAAAAAGCTGACACGCCAGCGCATCTCCCTGCCTTAACCCCCTATGTATTTGAAATGGGGTTGACGAGTCGTTTTGAATTTTTACTGCTGATAGCATCTTCGCCATTGTCACTTTTATCAAACGTATGAGTTTTTTTGGAATTCCTAACTCATTCATAGCGTTGTAAAGACTTGGTCTTAAGACACTGTCATATGCCGCTTTAAAATCGACAAAAATATGATACATATCTATGTTAAACTCTTGCGCTTTTTCGAGGATCTGTCGTAGTGTAAAGATCTGGTTAATGGTTGAACGTCCAGGCCTGAATCCTGCCTGATATTCCCCTAGAAACATTTCAGTATAAGGCTTTAATCTCCGTGCAAAATATTTGATAATATCTTGTATGCTGTATTTAGGAGAGTTATTCCGCGGTAATTATTGCATTCCAGTTGGTTTCCCTTTTTGTGTAACGGGCAAATTAAGCCTAGGCTCCATTCTTCTGGCATTTGCTCCTCAGACCAAATTCTACAAACAATTTCTCGCATCACCTTGGTGAGCTGCTCTCCACCGTGCTTAAATAACTCTGCTGGGATGCCATCGCTACCTGGGGACCTATGGTTCCTTAGTTTTTCTATAGATGTTTTTACTTCATCTACCGAGGGGGGTTCCACGAGTTCCTTATTTCGGTATTTCAGCTCTATATTGTTGGTAGGTTCCCCTTCCAGCAAATCTCGAAAGTGCTCTACCCATCGTAAAAGGATGTCCTCTTTGTTGGTAAGTAAGTTGCCTTCCTTATCATTACAATAGTTGATTCTTGGTTTGAATTCTTTTCTAATACTATTTATTTGATGGTAGAACTTTCTTGTTTCTCCGTGACTCATATGGCTTTCGAGCCGTTCTAACATGTCATTTTCCGAGTCTCGTTTCTTTTTTCGGTGTATGCGTTTTTCCTCTCTCCTTAAGTTTTTGTATCTATCTATTGTTGTTCTAGTTTTTCGTTGTTGCATGGTTCTAAATGCCTCGTTCTTCTCATCTGTTATTTTTTTGCAGTCTTGGTCGAACCAGCCGTTTCTTTCTTGGGTTCGGAATATTCCCAATGTGCTTTCGGCTGCTAATTTCAGAGCCTCCTTGCAGTTGTTCCACATTTCCGTGCTTGACTGGTCGACTGCCCAGGTGTGTTCTAGGGTTTCTTTTATATGTGACTGGAACTGTTTCTCATTGTTTTCATTTTTTAGCACATGTAAATTATATTTTACTTGTCTAGTGCCCCTTTCTTTCTTGGCATTGGAAATTCTTTGTCGTAACTTGGCCCCTACCATAAAAACATGGACAAACATGGACAAAATCATAAAAACCCAAAGAGCAATGGAAAGACAAATGTTGCACATAAGACTAATAGATAAAAAGAGAAACGAGTGGATAAGAGAGAAAACAAAAGTGAGGGATGTTAGACAAGAAGTTGCAAAATTGAAATGGAGATTTGCCGGACACAATATAAGACAAAAAGAAGACCGATGGAACAAAATTCTTATAAGTTGGAGACCGTGGGAATATAAACGAAGCAGAGGAAGGCCCCAATTGAGATGATTAGATGATATCAAGAATCACGTGGGCTCTAGGTGGATGACTGTAGCGACAGACAGAGAAGAATGGAAAAGGATTGGGGAGGCCTATGTCCAAAGATTAGAAGAAAAATTAGATAGATAGATATCTACGCAATTGTATATATTAAAAAATATGATATTCGATACTACCCACATTCCCAGAAGAAAAGTCGTAAAATTTAATTGCCTTACACCAGCCCTCAGCTGGAGAGGCGATGCGCTGGGTCTAAACATGCAAAATATATGGAAAGTAAAAAAAAACTAAGAAATTATAAAAACGCATATCTTCACTACACGGTGAATTGCCTACACCATAGATGAAAAAGCCGAGGTGTTGGGAAGGGTTCTCGAGAGAGTCCAATTCAAACTAATTACTTCTTAAAAGATCTCCCATAATTAATTAAACATTAGCTAATGGATGATAGCTGACATCAAAATAAAGCGTTTGAGCGCAAATTGCTTAATTCGAACATAGCGATTCGTTAATATTTTTTTATATCATTTTTAGGGATATATAAAAAACTATTCAACCAATTTAAGTGTGAATTTGGTATTTTGCTATTATTTAGTATGCTTAATATGAAATTGACATTAGTTTTACCATTGCCACTAGGTGGCGCCAACTACTATAACATTGGTTCATTAATGTGGCCATAATTTTTTTGTCCGCCCTGTATAAACATTCTAGGAAAAAAACGTGAAATAACATTCAATTCTACACACAAAATGTATCTTTGTTTCAAATCAAGAAAGTACACCGTTTTCGAAATAAACGTATTTTTTAGAGACGTGCATAATTACTAGCAGCTGTCAATAAAATCAACATTTTTCTGCATAACTTCAACCTTTTATTATATTTATCATCGTCGATCGACAAGAAGCGGATAAGGGACATTACGAACCGATTCGAACCTCAAAACTACGTTTGAAAATTTTCCAATTAGCAAAGTGAATAATTAAAAACGAAGCCATTAAGTAAACTACATAATCTAAATATTTTGTGTAAGTTTTGTCTTATTTTAAATAATGAGTTTCTTAGGGCCCTAAGTAAGTTAACTCCCTCTACAATATTTTGCCATAACTATTGACGGTTATTTATTTTTTTTTATAAACAAGTGACTTTAGGTAGCCCCACAAGCGAAAGTCTAGGGGATTTGTTTTCGAACTGCGTGCTGGCCATGGGTATACATGACCTCTACCAATCCACCTTTAAGGACAAATTTCATCTAGATAATTATTTTTAACTTCTAGGCTATAATATGGTGGTACACAATCATGCATGTACCAAGAGTTACGTCTCAAATTTAAAGTTATGTCTTCTAAAAGAGTTGGTAAGTCTTCTCTAAAACAATTAGAGACATTACTCCTTCAAGCCTAGTTGGGAATTCGAATGGTCGTACAATACAATCCCCAAATATGCCATACCAGATATTTGTGGAAAACTCATGTTGAAAATGATTTTCTGGAAATGCATGAGGATTTTCTGTCAGTTAAACACACCTCTTCTAGTAAATGTGGCTTCATCGGTAAATAAAATTTTATTATAAAACATTGGATCATCTAAATGCCGCCCTATTATAAACTGACTAAATCGGAACCTTGCTGGAAATTCTTGTGGTAAAAGATTCTATTATTGGTATTGTACAGATTAGGGGCCCTCCAAAATCTCTTAAACGAACTAAGTAGATACAAAATTGACATAACTGCCATACAAGAAATGAGGTGGATTGGAAACAATATTATGGAAAAAAAGAGCCATACCACTTTCTACAGCTGCGCTCCTAAAGATCACATTTTGGGCACTGGATTCATAGTTAACAAGAGAGTAAAACATATAATAAAAGACTTCAGAGCCATCAGTCCCAGAATGTGTATTTTAAGAATTAAAGGACGTTTCTTCAACTACAGCCTAATTAATGCGCATGCCCCCACAGAAGAAAAAGAAGAGGAAGTCAAAGAAGAGTTTTATGATGAATTAGAGTCCAACATACCAGTCATGTCCAAAAAGTGATATAAAAATAATTTATGGAGACTTAAACGCAAAAGTTGGAAGAGAGCAGCAATTCCAACCCACAATAGGTAAGCACAGTCTCCATGAGCAATCAAATGACAATGGCAATAGGTTGGTAAACCTAGCAAGATCACTTAACATGGTGATTGCCAGCACATACTTCGCTCGAAAAAAAATACACAAAGGCACCTGGAAATTACCAGACGGACTTACAGTGAATATGATAGATCATGTTATTGTAGACTCAAGACACCAATCGAATATAATAAACGTCCGTACCAGAAGTGGGGCAAATGCGGATTCTGATCACTACCTGGTCGAAAGTTAATATAAGCCTGGCTTATAGGCCCTGGATAAAGGCTAGAATTTCAAACATCAAAAAGGAAAGAGGCTCTAAACATGAACGATACAATATATTAGGACTCAAAGAAACAAACAAAAATAGAGAGTACAAAGAAAATATAAGCATCAAACTAGAAAACAGACCAAAACATGAAAACCTAAATGGGGAGTGGGAAGAGTGCAGAGAAATCATAAAAGAAACAGCTACAGAGGTGTTGGGCATGGAAGGTAAAGAAAGAAGAACAAGAACGAATCACTGGTTTGACGAAGAATGTCAAACTATAACAGAAAGAAAAAAACAGAGCATATCTACAGATGCAACAGAGGCACAGAACCCGACAAGCAGAAGAAGAATATAAACAACTACGTAAAGAAGAAAAGAAAATTCACCGAAGAAAGAAGAGAGAATATATCAACAAAGAACTTCAAGAACTACAAGAACTAAGTAAACCAACAGAGACAAGAAAATTTTACCAGAAACTCAACAAAAGCAGAAAAGAGTTCAAACCGAGAACAACGATGTGTAAAGATAAGGAGTGTAATATATTGACAGAGCAGCAAGAGATACTTAGAAGATGGACACAATATTTTAAGGAAAAGCTTGGGGTGAATAGGACGGAGATGAACCCTGATATACCATTAGACCAAGCAGACAACAGAGAAAAGGGTCCACCAACAATAGCAGAGATTAGAACAGCAGTGGACAAATAAAAGAACAATAAATCACCGGGATCGGATCAAATATCACCGGAGCTACTGAAAGAAGGAGGAGACGCATTACTTAAAGCCATACATGAGCTGATAAGAAAGATATGGTTGAATAAACAGCTACCAAAGGAGTGGAATAGCGACATTATTGTACCACTACATAAAAAAGGAAACCAGTTAGAATGTGAAAACTATCGTGGAAACACGCTGTTGAATGCGGCATACAAAATAATGTCCAACGTAATGTATGAAAGACTTAGACCATGCGCTGAACAAATAGTTGGCAAATACCAATGTGGCTTCTGTAGACAGAAGTCAACAATAGACCAGATATTTGTTCTGCGACAGATCCTTGAAAAAACAAGTGAATATAACATCGACACACATCATCTCTTCATAGACTTCGAAAGCGCATATGACAATATAAACCGAGAATTCCTAACAAAAGCAATGAAAGAATTTAATATACCAACACAGCTAATATAATTGATAAAAGAAACACTAAAAGTAGAAAGTAAAATCCGGAGACAAAACGAATTAACGGAAACAATAGATGTGAAGAAGGGACTACGCCAGGGAGACGCTCTATTATGCATATTATTCAATACCATACTTGAAAAAATAATAAGAAACACAACAGTTAATACCCGAGGAACAATAATTATTAAAAGCGTGCAAGTACTAGCATTTGCAGATGATGTTGACATAATCGCAAGATCAAGAAGAGAAATGATAGAGGCATTCACTCAAATAGAACGAGCTGCAAAAAATAGTGGTCTTAAAATCAATCAGACAAAAACAAAATATATGCCTGCAAATAAAAACGCACAAATAAGGCAGCTGCCAAATTTAACAATATTAGAATACAACATTGAGGCGGTAAAAAACTTTATATACTTAGGATCCCTAGTTACGTCTGATAACAACGTTACAGAGGAAGTGAAGATTAGAATATTTATTGCCAATAAATGTTACCATGGCTTAATTAGGCAATTAAGATCAGATAACGTCTCCAGAAAAACAAAATGCCAAATATACAAAACCTTAATAAGACCGGTACTCACATACGGTCCAAAAACCTGGACACTCTCTAAAAGGGAGGAAACGTTATTAGCCACCTTTGAAAGAAAAATCTTGCGACACATATATGAGGGCACAAAAGAAAACGGGATTTGGCAGAGAAGGTATAACTTTGAACTATACAACATATACCAGGATCCGGATATCATAACATTCATTAAAATAGGAAGGCTACGTTGGATTGGACATGTGGAAAGAATGGAAGAAGGCGAAATACCAAACAAAATATTCAAACAAGTGCCAGTAGGAAAAAGAACAAGAGGAAGGCCGAAGCTGAGATACGTAGAACAAATAGAAAATGATATAACAACATTAAAAATTAAAAACTGGAAAAAAAAGCACGAAACAGGTCAGAATGGAGAAGAATCCTTGAACAGGCCAAGACCCAAAAAGGGTTGTCGAGCCAGTGATGATGATGAAAAGATTCTATCCTGGAGTAAAACGATACGGATACAGATTTTCTGTATTATTATTCTTGACGCCGTAGATTTGCTTATACCAGTGGCCGCAGAAACAAGTCTTGTACTGGTTTCTGGATCTTCTGCAAGACGCACAATTTCATCCTTCATATCCGCATCAATTACTCTTCGTCTTCCAGCATTTCTGTTTTTCGGATGAAATGGCCCTTTTTCGCTTAATCTGTCGAACAATGATCTAATAGTTTTATGGTTTGGTTGCCTTCTATTAAGATAAAGTTCGAAATAGCTTTAAGCTTTAAGCTGCTTCACGAGATCAAAAATTTTCCTGGGCATACAAACAGATCATATCGCGCATTTTTACGTTAGAAAATTCACTACGACGTGGCATTTTACTTTTGTCTTAAGTGGTTTATAAAAAACTAAATAACACTGACAAATAATGACTCGCACTGCACTTTGACAACTAATAATAAATACATTCGTAGTTGCGTCTTGACATTGCCATCAAATTTAAAGCATACTTGTTTTGCAAAAAATTAAATGGAGACATGCATCATTAACAAAATACGTTTCTTTCGAAAAAAATTGTACTGTTTTTATGTAAAACATGACTAGGTACCTTTTTTGCGTACAATTAAATGTTAGTTCATGTTTTTGAAGTTATACTTCTTTAGGGGCAATTGTGAAAAATGCAATTGCCTAAGCAATTTGATATCAAATGCTTTATTTTGATGTCCGCTATCACCCATTAGCCAATGTCATCGAGCAAAAAGACAAAAGAAGGAATCTAATCGTTATGAAAAGGAGACCAACAAAGTGGCCTCTGATGGCGGATATATCCAGAAATGCGAATGCGCCAAATTTAAATTTTCCGCCACTTATTAAAAGTAGCTATAAAATAGTTTTTAGAATGTGTCTTAGACGAGAAAGTTTTAATCAAAAATTAACGATAACAGTCTAAAATGTGACACAATTGATAAAAAAACTTCAATATAAATAAGATTTCATGTGACAGTTGGGACAAAAAATAACATAACCCAACTAAATTTAATTTCTTAAACAAGGAAAGACTCTCTTTCCTTGTTTAATGTGGCCTCTCAAGATAGCACTTCCTGTCTAACAATATTTTTGCCCCCACTACCCTTACATTCTCCCTTTTGTCTTTGTGCTCGATGGCTAATGTACAATTAATTATGGGATACCCTGTATAAATACTCTATTATACTAAAGATTATTATCTCCTTCGATTATTTAGAATTAGAACAAGAGAACCTACAAACCTGAAATGTTACAGTAAATCTATTATCTAGGTTATCTATCTACATCAATATTTAAGATTTAATTTTCTTTTAGACTGCAGTAGAAGCCGTTGGAAATATCCGAACGGTTGCCTCCTTAGGCTTAGAGGAAAAGTTTCAGCAGATTTACGAATCTGAGCTTATGCCCCATTATAAATCTTCATTAAAAACGGTTCACTGGAGATCAATTGTGTTTGGTCTTTCCAGAAGTTTGTTGTTCTTTGCTTATGCTACCGCAATGTATTACGGCGGATTTTTGATAAGGGATGGATTGCCTTACGACAGAGTATTTAAGTGAGTATTTATCTGATTATTTATGTAATATCTTTGTAAATTAGCTGTGATTGGAATAAACTTCTTTAATATTGTAAAATAGAGGTGTGTAAATGTTGGTAAATGACATTAAGGAACAATAATAAAAATGCAACGGGTCAGGAAATGAAAAAAAAAGCATAAATTATCATACTGAACAATAGCAATAAAACAGATAAAGAAACATTTTGGAATAGATATTAGGTACTATATAAAGGAAACCAAAGAACTGCTAATTAAACTTGTTCTAACAGGAATTTAAAAAATCCTAACCGATTTCTTCTGGGAAGGTAGAAAAAAGTTTTTTCAATATTAAACAAGTGCATAGAAAAAGTGCTAAGTCGCAATACATAAGAATAAGCACATACCATACAGATTGGTAAATAAAAACTAGAGTGATGGAAAATAAAAAAGATTCGGAAACGCACCATTTTCCGTAAGCAGGAATGAGAATTTGTTATGCTGAAAGCCACAAAGGAGTATTTTACAAGATCCTACAAAGTTTCATTCCACATTTTTCTTCGTTTTCTTTTGATGTCTATCCTCTGTGGATGTTGGCAATCACGTTGGTCTATACAACTTTGGTGACAGCTGCTCTAAATAAATGTATGGTAGTTATTCCTATCCACTGTCTGATGTTCTTCAACCATGATGTTCTTCTGCGCCCTTGAGGTCTTTTGCCTTTTATTTTGCCTTGTAAAATTAGTTAAATTAAAAAAGAGAAATCATACGATTTCTACCTGGCGAACTCGAATTCAAATATAAGCCGCCGTGCTCCCTAAAACTTGCGAAGCAAACAGCTTGATGAATGAATCGGCAAGGGAGTCTAACAATTGCACTCCAAATGCCGTTCATCATGGCCTATATTCGTAGTGAATTCGATTTTTGGTACTCCAAATGAAGTAAATAAACGAAAATAAAATGACGGTATTAGATTTTGATTTGATACAGAGCAGCAACAAGCCGCATATACGTATTTCGATCTCTTTAGATCTCCTTAGTACGGTATAGCTAACTATTCCATATCAAACCAAAATGTTTTCCCGTCGTAGATTATAGTTATTAAAAATAACTATTTACGGACGTAACTACGCCATCTAAGAACAAAAAGAGAAATCGTATGATTTTTTTTTTGTTCTTTTTGTTCTTAGATGGCGTAGTTACGTCCGTAAATAGTTATTTTTATAACTAATAATAATAATAACTAATTTTTATAAATAATAATATAATAATAATAAATAAGTAATACTCGTCTAGTATTAAATTATGATTTCGTGATCCGTTTCCTCCCGTTAAATTTTTGATATTTTTATGTAGGTTAAAAGTGTCATGCTTCTGTTCTAGGGATTCTATTTCTGTGTATTGATCTTGCAGCATGATTTCTTGTATTAATTTCTTGTATTGATTTTTCGATACAAAATTTAATGGCCATCATATCGAAGAAGCAGATAACACCCTAGCAAATCGAAATGATTGGAATCCTTTCAACCCAAACGAAAGACCACCTACCATCGAAAACGTTGCCCAAGCCATTAAAAGCTTAAAAATAATAAATCACCAGGAGTTGATCAAATTTGCAGTGAGCTCTACAAGAATGGTGGCGATGCCCTACTACAGACACTGCATAAGCTTTTACTTCTTGTTTGGCATAATGAGACCATGCCTTGTGAATGGTCTCAAGGCGTGATATGCCCGTTACATAAAAAAGGTGACCAGCTCCAGTGTGACAACTATAGAGGTATAACCCTGTTAACAACTGCTTACAAAATACTAGCAAATATTCTCTACGAAAAGTTGCAAGTTTACACAGTGGGCATAATTGGTAAATATCAAGTTGGATTCACTCCAGAAAAATCAACAATTGACCAGATTCATTCAATAAGACAGATTCTCGAGAAAACATTAGAATTCAATATTGAAACCCATCACCTATTCGTCGACTTCAAGGCCGCATACGACAGTGTCAAGAGAACAATGCTATACCAATAAATGCATGAGTTTGGTATACCAGAGAAACTTATCCGACTAACGAGAATGACAATGTCTAACTTAGAAGCTACTGTTAGAACACAGGGAGAGAGTTCTAGATCCTTTGAGATAAAGGATGGACTCAGACAAGGAGATGCTCTGGCTTGCCTCCTATTTAATATTGCCTTAGAAAAGGCAGTCCGAGATACACGAATTAGGGATGGCGGTACTATTTACAATAGATCGATACAAGTCTTAGCATATGCTAATGACATTGACATAGTAGGGCGTAGCAAGCGAGATGTTGAGCAATATCTCCTAGAATTGGAAACAGCGGCGAAACAGGTCGGTCTAGTCATCAACGAAGACAAAACCAAGTACATATTGGTTACAAAGGATCCGATAGCAAATGACGAACGAGAAACAGTCTTTGGAAGTCATACCTTTGGACGTGTTGACAACTTCACATACCTTGGGTCGCTATTGACTGCTACCAATAAAACAAGAAATCAAAAGACGAATAAATCTTACAAATAGGGCATACTATGGACTCCAAAAGCATTTCCACTCAAGAAACATTAAAAGAAAAACTAAAATTATTATATACAAAACATTGCTGAGGCCGGTCCTCACATATGGAGCAGAAACATGGACTCTAACGCAGAAATATGAAAGACTTTTGGGAATATTTGAGCGTAAAATACTCCGCAAAATATTTGGAGCTGTGAACGACCAAGGGCAGTGGCGCAGAAGATATAATTTTGAATTGTATCAGCTCTTTGATGAGCCAGATGTCATAACGTTCATTAAAACACAGCGACTTAGATGGGCTGGACACATAATACGAATGCCTTAAAATACCATTGCTAAAAAGCTAACCACAAGAACACCTGTAGGAGAAAGAAGCAAAGGCCGACCGCGAATTAGGTGGTTAGATGGAATAAAAACCAACTTGTAGCCATGATTATTTTGCTTCTTTAATGTTTTTCTTAATGATTTTGTTTATTTCTTCTTATGCCCACTGCTGTCATCAAGGCCACCTGTTGGAAGATTATACAATTCCAGAGACGTGATTATGTGATTATTTTATTTAGAATTAAATTATTTGGCTATTATTATTGGAATATTATTATAAATTAATTCTATCATAATGTCTCTTTTAGTACCTTTGTCGTTCTATGAATTTCGTAATTACCCGATCCCACCTTACTATTATGGGAAAATAGGTACGTGACTTTCTACGAATAAAGCTTTTACCGGATTCAAATCCACACATATCATTCAAAAATTATTCATGTTATCTAAAAACTGTTATCGACAAGTAAATATGTGCTGCGACTGCGAATATAGTAGAATCATGAAATTCATTCTTGTCATTGTAATATTTAAATTTTTATTGATTATTGAAAATTAAATAGTCTGGATATACAGGGTTGGAGACCCATTAAAAATTTTCCATGGGCTTGCAGTCTATTAGTGGTATTTTTGGAATAAGAGTACAACATACTATGTGTGGTAAACGAGAAGATTCAATCAACAGCAAAATACACCGTTAAAATTATGACGGTAGTTTTTACATTCCGGTGGAACCTTTCTAACGAAATGTGAAATCGGAAAAATTATGAATAAAATTCAACATCATACTCTTTACCTATAATGTAAATTAACATACCGATATATTTTTTTCCTCATTCTTATTTCTATGTTTTCTTCGTTCTTCCATTAGCTCTAATATTTCTTGTCTCATACACGGCTGTTTCTTTATATTGTTTTCTGGTTTGTGACGGGTAGCTCTTTCGAGGCGACAGACTCAGTTGAAATACAGGTTGAAATGAAAATAAATCTATTAATTTTAACGTATATACAATAAATAAAAATAAGATTTCTTCTATGTCCCTGTCTGGATCCCACGAGAGTGAACTCCCCGGCGAACGTCTGTAAAAAAAATTATTATTACTAACAAAGAAATGAAATACGCGAAGTCAATCGCACGCAGACTTATACTAGCTTCTACCTTAATTCAGCGGAAGCTCCAAACGCACTCGCAGTCAAAACATTCGGTTGTGCAGATCCACGTTGACGGTAACGTTCAATTCAGGTTCACTACACCAGCGAGCCAGGGAGCCTAGAGCGCTAGCCACAAGACTATCTAATTCTGCCAGTCGCTCGCCTTAAATAGCCGCTCCGGATCCCACTTCGTCGTCTCGTCGTGGAGATGGATGCGCAAATATCGACACTCCCACTGTTCGAACTGTTGAGATCAGCACATCGTTACAGGTTTAAGTTTATTATCTACGACTGCATTACAGATATTTTTTATTTTATTCCACATACCATCCACACTTATGCTTACTTGATTAATATCTGAGATTACCATGCGATTGATTTTGTTGTTGATCTCCTCTTTGACTTCGTCAATAGAACTTGTAGTTTTATCTGTCAACTTCTGAATGTCCGGACGTTTTTGTGCTTTTCTTTTGTGGACTTTTTCATGCGAGTTCATGTGAATTCCATATTTTACTTAATTTAAAGAATGCAGCTTTGAAAAGGTTTAGTACAAACTACTTACAGACTAAGATTTAATCATACTTTAATTTCATAACAATTTTTTAAAATTAAGTTAAGAAAAAGTCCCGTATGTGATTGCAAAAAAATATAAACAGTAGAATATACAGTACGTAAATCTTTCAGCTGAACATAGGTAATATACATTGAGGTAATTGTGACAACTGCGCTTTCTTAAGCCCACTGCTGTCGTCAAGGCTACCTGTTGGAAAACTATACAATTCCAGAGACGTGGTTATGTCATTATTTTATTTAGAATGAAATTATTTAATTATAAATTAATTCTATCATAATGTCTCTTTTAGTACCTTTGTCGTTCTATGAATTTCGTAATTACCCGATCCCACCTTACTATTATGGGAAAATAGGTACGTGACTTTCTACGAATAAAGCTTTTACCGGATTCAAATCCACACATATCATTCAAAAATTATTCATGTTATCTAAAA